ATCATGAACAATGGAGAACGGTACCTTATAAGTCCTGTCTGGATCATGAACAATGGAGAACGGTACCTTATAAGTCCTGTCTGGATCATGAACAAGGGAGGTACCTTATAAGTCCTGTCTGGATCATGAACAAGGGAGAACGGTACCTTATAAGTTCTGTCTGGATCATGAATAAGGGAGAACGGTAACTTATAAGTCCTGTCTGGATCATGAACAATAGAGAACGGTACCTTATAAGTCCTGTCTGGATCATGAACAAGTGAGAACGGTACCTTATAAGTCCTGTCTGGATCATGAACAAGGGAGAACGGTACCTTATAAGTTCTGTCTGGATCATGAACAAGGGAGAACGGTACCTTTTAAGTCCTGTCTGGATCATGAAAAAGAGAGAACGGTATCGCATAACCCCTGTCTGGATCATGAACAATGGAGAAAATAAATTTCACATGGCTCTGTCGCAAAAGTTTTACCATTGAAATTTTGGCTTGTTCCTCCATCAATATTGAGTGAGCCACTAGAAATTACAAATACAGTACTTCGGAATCATTTTTAAGTCAAATATGAAAATAAGATAAAAAAATTAACAAACAAAAATATGCAGCTCATCTAAGATTATACTATTTTTCTGTTTAAAAATATACTATACATACTATGTTTTTAAACGTGGATAGTTGAAAATTCATTGTTTTTGTTCAGGGGAATAAGCCGAGACAGTGTAATTTTTGAAAGAAAAGAGGTTTGCTATGTGCTACAAATTCTTATATGTGTATTTAATAAACAATATGCATAATAAAGAATCAAATTATCGACGTATATAATGTTTTTTTTTTTCACATGGTCATAACTATAGTTTTAAACGTATATAGTGTTTTTTTCACATGGTCATAACTATAGTTATAAACGTATATACTATATAGTGTTTTTTCACATGTTCAGAACTTTAGTTATAAACTTATATAATGTTTTATTCACATGTTCAGAACTATAGTTATAAACTTATATAATGTTTTATTCACATGTTCAGAATTATAGTTATAAACGTATAAAATGTTTTATTCACGTGTTCAGAACTATAGTTATAAGGGTATATAATGTTTTGATTATAAATAATGTTATACACATAAAACAGCGCAATTGGGTAGGCTATTTTACTTAACAAGTTTTTTCAAACAATTGTCAAAAAACTATTTGCTTTAAAACATCATATTCGAATTTAGAAATAGTTTACCGAACAAATAAGAATAAGAATGCCCAAATGTCGTCATACTTTACACAAATAGATGTATCCCATCTTTAAAGAAACGGAAGGTAGAATATGCTTTTCGATTTATTGAACATTTTTTTAAATTCACATTTTTGAATGTAACATACTTAGAGCTATATTTAATATACTCTGGGTAGTGTTTGAGTTATCTGTAGGATACTCCATGTAGGGTTGTAGGTATCTTTAGGATACTCCAGGTAGGGTTGGAGTTATCTGTAGGATACTCCAGGTAGGGTTGGAGCTATCTGTAGGATACTCCAGGTAGGGTTGGAGTTATCTGTAGGATACTCCAGGTAGGGTTGGAAATATCTGTAGGATACACCACGTAGGGTTGGAACTATCTGTAGGATACACCACGTAGGGTTGGAACTATCTGTAGGATACTCCAGGTAGGGTTGGAAATATCTGTAGGATACACCACGTAGGGTTGGAACTATCTGTAGGATACTCCAAGTAGTGGTTGAGCTATCTGTAGGATACTCCAGGTAGGGTTTTAGCTATCTGTAGGATACTCCGGATAGGGTTGGAGCTATCTGTAGGATTCTCCAAGTAGGGTTTGAGCTATCTGTAGGATACTCCAGGTAGGGTTTGAGCTATCTGTAGGATACTCCAGATAAGGTTTGATCTATCTGTAGGATACTCCGGGTAGGGTTGGAGCTATCTGTAGGATACTCCGGGTAGGGTTGGAACTATCTGTAGGATACTCCGGGTAGGGTTGGAGCTATGACGATACCCTTCATATCTCTGGCTAGGTAGACGCCAAGCAGGAACAATGAGACACTTTTAATACATTCCCATTTCCACCTTAAAACGTTTAACTTCATAATTACATGAAAGTAAAAATGCAATTTCGGATTTTTTTGGCGTCATTCGTAATTCCTAATCGCAACCCTGAACGACTTAAACATGAAGATATTAATTGTTTACTGCAGAACAATTTATTGTTAAATTTTTATTATTTTTGTTTAATTGAATGAAACATAATTTTTAAATTTTTAAATTGTTGTTTTCCATAGAAACAATTATCTTGTCGTAAGTCAAACTATATACTTCAATGTTTTTTGTAAGATTTTTTACCCTACGGGCATCAAGACAAATCTTTATCTTCATATTAAGTTTTAAATTATTTTTTTTATTTTTTTTCAAAAATGTTTTAAATTAAAATGTTTCAATTATTTCACCTGTCATTATAAAAACTTGAGATATAAGCTAGTAATCCACCTTTACGCGGCATACCTTACACTTACTAAAGTTTTAACTAGTCGAGCAAATATTGGGGAAAAAACTTTTTTGTTTCATTTTCTTATATTTTTATTTGATTAAAATGAGAATAAGAAGATATCAAAAATAATTTTTATTTTACGAATGAATATTGTCCGCTGTAATATTCAGCAGTTTTCAGACGCTAAAAGATCTTCGGCTTTCTCACAGATGCTTATATACATGTCATATGATGCAACAGATTCTTTCATTTTTTTTACAACACTTTTACAAAACCCGTTATTTCAATCATTGCTAGATATTTCAAACTTGGAGAGTGGTCAGTTAATTTTACTTAATAATAACTAAAGATTATAAATACTTAAAAGTGTGTTTATATTATGCTAAGAAAAAATATAAGCTTTGTAGCATGAACCGAAAATTAATGTGCGCTGGTTTATTATTAAAAATCCTGTTACGCGAGCCATGCTGCGTGTAGAAAGTCTGCTTGTCGCCCCTGTGTATTTCTGAGTTCCCTCTGAAGATCTGTACGGAATGTATTGTGAAAGAACTAGTTTAGGAACTGTTTACAGACCGACTGCGCAGACGCAAGATTTCTCGCGGAGTAGTAACTAATTTATATCAGTATATGTTTATTCGTTTTGCAAGTATTAGCCGTGTTCAGAATTCTGGGATCACTGTGGTAACTATTTTTTTAATGCCTGAGTGAATTATTTATTGTAGTTGTATGATTTGTCACTCAAAGCTTTTTCTGTAGGTTTATTAAACTTATTTAGATTGAAGGCTCAGAGAAATAAACGTTCGGAACCTTACTATCATCCTTTTATTATGAAGAGCGTTGAGAGAAGGGAGTCTTAAGATCCGGTCCTGAGAAATACCACACGGTATATATATTAGATCTTTAGGGAAATCGCTAAGTAGCGAAACAAATCCTAAAAATCATAGAACTATTACGAGGAAATCCATTATTCTAAATTTTTACTCCTATATATTTTATATTTGTAGAAACATATATTTTTCTCATTCATGAAACACTGCAAACTATACTTAGCTATGAATTCTAACTACCTATGGAAAATGTCGTCGTTTTTCTGATTCGAAAAATGAATATTTTTCTGAGTTTCTCCATTGTTTTAAATAAACAAGAAATGCGCAAGTCCATTTCGTAGAGAAAAGGCAAGTGAAAATAAACATTTTGAAGGTACAAAAACATTGATATCTAATTCATACTTATTCAGACAAAGTTTGTATGCAGAAGAAATGCGATTTTTTTATAGAAACTACAAACTAGAGAATCTACGGGTCAGAAAGGCATACAGTAATTCCCTTTGGATCTACCTAATTCCTTCTATCAACATTGGAGTGAACAGGGATATAATAGTACAGATGCAACACATTTATCAAAATATATAGAAAATATGATGACCATATATATTTTGTAAAGAAGAAGGAATATGAAAGGGAAGGTATATATATATCAAAATATGTAAAAATATGATGACCAATATACATTTCGTTTAGTAGAAGGTATATTTATCAAAATATATAAAGATATGATGACCAATATATAGCTTGTAGAAAAAGGAAAGCCAAAGGGAAGAGTATCCGAGCCCAACTATCAATACTGTAGATAACACCTGAAATAAAAAGGAAATTATTACTCTCATCATTATCCTTTAATCTTTGCGACCTGACCATATAAACCTTTTATATTCAGGCTATGAATTCTATTTGATCTAAACGTGTGAATTATCAAAAGTTTACACCATTAGGTTGCAAAGGTTAGAAAATTAGAGTTTATATTATTTGTCAAATTTTACAAAAGCTCACCTAGAGTATCTTTGTAAATCTCCATGTGAACAATTTTTTTTGAATATTTTCGGAAAATAAACTTGAAACTCTTTTCCATCTTCCGATCAAACCAGGATACAAAACTATCCAGTAAAGTTCTAAAAAACAAAACTATCCAGTAAAGTTCTAAAAAACAAAACTATCCAGTAAAGTTCTAAAAAACAAAACTATCAAAACTATCCAGTAAAGTTCTAAAAAACAAAACTATCCAGTAAAGTTCTAAAAAACAAAACTATCCAGTAAAGTTCTAAAAAACAAAACTATCCAATAAAGTTCTAAAAAATAAAGTGAACTTTACAATCTTTGGTCAAAGATTCCAGACATAAAAATCATCAGTTTTCAAAAACATAATATTAATATACAGTTAATGCTTAAACTAACATGTCACTCTGTCTCTTAAAACAATGTTTTCAGTTTCTTTAAATAAAGGAAACCTGCATTTTGCCTCCACTTCATTTTCTTCCTCTTCGTCTTCAATATCTTCAAACCCATCTTCAGTAGAAACACAGGCATCCTCAACAAATAGAAACTCTTTAAAGGGACTGTATGAGTACTTTCAAGTGACCCTCCATGCAAAGATGACAATGCCCGATTCACAACAGCAACATTAAAAATAGGTCTGCATGATAAAGTATGAATTAGATATTAATATTAATGATTTTGAAAACTGATTATTTTCAACTGTGGTTTTTCTACAAAAGTGACTTGTATATATCTACCGCAGGAAAACTAAGAATCATCAAAGTTAAGCGTTTTTGAACCAAGAAAAACGAAAATATCTTCCAAATTATTGATCAAATTAAAGTTTCAAGGGTAAAGTTGTGAATCGGGCAATGACATCTTTTCCTGAAGTGTCATTGAAAAATACGCGCAAAGTCCCTTTAAACAAATAGAAAAATATTGTTTTTCACTTTGTCGTAATAATTACAACGTATATTTCACTGTCTTCGGGTTTATTATTTAATCCCTCGGAGCCCGGGGGTTCAAATTGTTCTAATTTTTATGATAGTTAAGAATAAATTCATTATAATCCATAAACTAAATTAGAAAAAAATGGGATTCATGCTAAAGAAGCTGTGTGTCTGTCTTGGTGTTTGTTTGGATGTCCTATCATAACTAAAATTTGCTTAGATTTTTGCTTAAAATCCTAAACTGAGCAAGCTAACTTGTATAGAGAAACTTGGATTCTAAAAAACATTGAAAAATACCTGAGTTGATATTGTTGAGACACATTCAGATTTAGCATGGGGGGGCTTAGGAGATTCACGTAGCATGTTGGAGACTTGATCAATATTATGCTCCACATTTCCTCCCTCTTTCAATTCCATTTCTTCGATTTTCTCCTCTTCCTTTTCAGTTTCCTTGATCTTCATATCTTCCAGATTTTTCGTTTTATCATTGTCTTCCAGTTTCATCTCTTTCTTTATTTCGCCATCTTTTAATCGAGAGTGAAAACATTTTTTACAAAATTCTTTGGTATAAAAATACCCCAAGCAATTTAATTCTTAAATTTAAAACATTATTTTCTATTTGATATATTCAGTATAAATATATGGGAGGGGTTAGTTAAATTTAAATTTATGTTTTTTTATTGTTGCAAAGGAATTGAGTCTTTGGAACAAATCAAATATTTAAACCCTAATATCTTTAGAACCCGATGTTGTTAACCTTTGATATTTCAAACTCAGATAATTAGATTTAACAGAATTCATAGTTTGAAATATCTAAGGTCTACAACATTTGATTCCAAAGATATAGTGATTAGAAAATCAGATTTTGTGGCAAAGACTCAATTACTTTTGTGAGAATTTTAGTTTTTCAACCCAAACCTTGATTTGAAAAAAAGGTTAAAGTAAGCCAGAATGATAGTGTAAAGATTTGGAAGTTTAGTTTTAAAAAATGTGAATGACTTTAATGGAATTTCAAGCCAAATTTTAATTTTAAAACACTAATAAAGAAATAAATGAAAGAAAAATTAAGCCTTTTCCTTTGTGCTAAAGAACTTGAATTCACCAATTGTTTTTTAGCTTTACGTTTCGGAGACCAAGTAAAAAATTGGCTGAAAGGGTTACTTAAACTTAAGATAACAAAGTTTCTATACCTTTGATTGGTGATTTAGATCTTCGTATACTTTCCTAAAACATATTTTTATTTTTAATAAAGAAAAAGTATAGCAAACCTGTATTTATATTGACACCAAAAAAGACCAAACGTTTTAAATTAAGAATTGATTTTATTTTGTATGTACGTTTGTATATATATATTTAGACTAAAATTGTCACCTTTTTTAACTGATTTTTCTTCTCCTCTTCCTTTTTCTTCTCCTCCTTCTCCCATTCTCTAGGGAAACGGTTTTTTAAAATTTTTTTTTGTTTTTAGATTTTTGCTTCTTTTTAATATGCAATTTTTAAGAAAATGTTGATGAAAATTATCTTTTTTGAAAATTTTAAAAAAGTTTGAATGAAAGAATTTATAAAAATGGTTATGACAATGTTTATGAAAATATTTTTAAAAATGTTTATGAAAGTATTTATGAAAATATTTATGAAATGTTTATGAACATGTTTATTAAAATGTTTATCAAAATGTTTATGAAAATGTTTATGAAAATGTTTATGAAAACGTTTATAAAAATATTTATGAAAATGTTTATGAAAATGTTTATGAAAATATTTATTAAAATATTTATGGAAATGTTTATGAAAATGTTTATTAAAATGTTTATGAAAATGTTTATTAAAATGTTAATAAAAATGTCTATAAAATGTTTTTGAAAATATTTATGAAAATATTTATAAAAATATTTATGAAAATGTTTATGAAAATATTTATAAAAATATTTATGAAAATGTTTATGAAAATGTTTCTGAAAATGTTGATGAAAATGTTTATGAAAATGTTTATGAAAATGTTTATGAAAATGTTTATGAAAATATTTATGAAAATGTTTATGAAAATGTTTATGAAAATGTTTATGAAAATATTTATGAAAATGTTTATGAAAATTTTAATAAAAATGTTTATGAAAATGTTTATGAAAATGTTTATTAAAATGTTTATGAAAATTTTTATGAAAATATTTATGAAAATGTTTATGAAAATATTTATGAAAATGTTTATTAAAATTTTTATAAAAATGTTTATGAAAATGTTTATGAAAATTTTTATGAAAATATTTATGAAAATGTTTATGAAAATGTTTATTAAAATGTTTATGAAAATTTTTATGAAAATAATCATTAAAATGTTTAAGAAAATATTTATGAAAATAATTATTAAAATGTTTAAGAAAATATTTATGATAATGTTTATTAAAATGTTTATTAAAATGTTCAGTAAATGTTTACCTAAACCGTTTAATAAACGTATCTATAAAGTTTATAGAAGCGAATTCAACAAGAGCCGCGAATACAGCAACAAAACAGAGAATTATATAAATATCCATGGCCGTGGAATATCCAACCTAAATAAAATAATTTGAAAAGAAAATATCAATTTATTTACAATTTTATCCAACTAGATAGATATGTGTTATAAATCTATCTTGTTTTAGCACACATCAAATTAATGCAAAGAAACTGAGTTTTTGCCACAAACTCTGATATTGTAATCCCAATATCTTTGCAACCCAAAGTCGTAGACCTTAAATATTCTGGTAGATTAAGAAAACTAAGTTTGAAAAATCAAAGGATTATTACTTTTATTAAAAGTTATTGAGAAAAATAAAAATATGTTCTCGTACTTGTATAATAAACACCTACTCCATTACAAGTCCTCGATACGTATCTATCCAGGTACAACCAGTCCGCTATATAAAGTCAACCAGGACATGATCCACACGGTTCACGTGGATTTAACGGTTCTGTCAATATTCCAGAAAGCTGTGACTTTCGACCCATTAAACATAATTTGTTAGCCTTTTTTATTGAATACTTTTTTGTTGGCATATGCATTTTGAATAAAAATGTATAACATAAATAAATCCGTAACTCTGCTCACTCTGGTAAGTCCGGTGTGGGTTACAATCCCATGAACTATTAATGCCACTATCACTGGGCGCAATCTCGGACGCTATCAAACAAGCTATTAGTCGAGCTCTAAATGCCATATTTAGCAATGGGCTCATTTAGCTATATGGACAATATTCAGCGTAATTTACTATGGGCCTCTATATTTCCTACACTTGTGCATACATTTCAAATAAGAGGAGCTACTATGGTCACAAATTCTAAGGTTACATAAATTTGACCTTTGGTTTAGATTTGCCTCCGAATCCCAGGTTAACTATAGAAAGAACTGTTGTTGCTCCTAGAGCTGTTCGAGCAGGAACTTCTCCTCCCTGCAACAAAAAAAAATCAAATAATCTTTTTAAACATTTTGAAAAAAGTAATAAATGTTTGTATTCTTCTTCAAAGAATTTGCATTTAGTGGCCATAGATTGTAGAAAGCAAAATGTTTTTATTACTTTTTACTTATTGTACAATATCAAAATAATTAGTTTGTAATTTGATGATTTATGTTTTATATTTGTACCCAATTATTTATTCTAAAAGTATATCAATCTCTATTTGTCTGGGTGTTTGTAATTTTGATCATAAACTATAATTTTCTAATCCCTATATTTTTTATTAACCTGCCGGTGTAAAACTTTGACATTTCTAACTTTACCTAGAATCTAACAGAATGTATAACAGATATTTAGGGATTTGAAAAAAAATTTATATCTCTTCAACGACTTTTGGTAAAGGTGTCTCAATAAACATTGGAAATGAATAAAGCTTTCGAGATTTTCCTTTATATGACTTTAATATAGTATGTGATGCCCATTGAGAAGCTAGAATTTCGTCTGTTAGTGTTAAATGAAATTCCCAAGCCTACAGATTTGTGAAGATATATTAATATAAGAATCAGAAAATGAAAATACAATGCAAAATCAACCATATAAAATAATATTGGAACCAAAATAATTATCATTCACGCAAGTTACATAGTTACATCCTAGGATTTAGCTTGTCAGGCAGGATTTTAAAAAGTTTAAAACAAGATTTAAGGATTTTTTTACAATTTTCACTATTTTATATTTGTTCAACCGACCTTCTCTGTTTTGACGAGCCAGAAAGAGACCCAAGAGCAGAATACGATGAGTGTAAGTGGAGTATAGATCTGCAGTAAAAAGAACCCAGTTTGTCGCTCAAAAAAGAAATCTATTTGAACTGTGGAGTCGTTTCTCAAACCTTCCCTAAAAAACAATTGCCCACATTTTTAAAATGTGGTTAATAGGAATATAAAGCTGACATTTATTCTTGGACAATTAAGGTCAATTTTGAACTTAGTCTTTGTCAGAAAATCCAATATAGGACTATATGGGGGTGCAAAGATGAACGGAATAGAGAAAATCAAAATTCGAATTAATTCCTTTGAAGGGAATGTCGTCGTGATTTCAAGTGACCTTTTATTGTAAACAAGACAGAAGATAAAGGTCAAATTTATTCGACTTTATCCTGACAGAATGCTATATACTTTGGAGAAAAAAAACTCAGCGGGAGCGGTTGAGCGAGCATTTGAGATCTAGCCTAGACTCTACGCAGTTCGGAATAAGAAATTAAGAAGAAATTCACAATTTGTTCAACCGCTAAATCCCACTTTTTCAACAAATGAAATATAATTTTTCATGAATAACGTTTTCAGATTTTTCAGCAACTTTTTTGCTTTCAACCACTGTTTAAAAGATTTTTCAGCAACTTTTTTGCTTTCAACTGTTTTCAGATTTTTCAGCAACTTTTTTATTTCAACCGCTGGTTTTAGATTTTTCGGCAAATTCTTTTGCTTGCAACCGCCGGTTTTTTAAGATTTTTCAGACTTTTTTACTTTCAACCGCTGTTTTAAAGATTTTTCAGCAACTTTTTCCTTACAACCGTTTTCAGATATTTCAGCAACTTTTTTGCTTTCAACCGCTGCTTTAAAGATTTTTCAGCAACTTTTTAACTTTCAACCGCTGATTTTAAGAATTTTCAGCAACTTTTGTTGAAAGCAAAAAGTTGATAAACAATCTTAAACCCAGCGGTTGAAGCAAAAAAGTTGTTAAAAAATCATAAAACCAGTTAAAAGAAAAATTTTTTTATGAAAAACTGTTTTCCAGTGGTTAAAGCAACCCAGCGGTTGAAAGCAAAAAAGTTGCTGAAAAATCTTAAAACCAGCGGTTGAAAGAAAAAAGGTACTGAAAAATCTTAGAACCGGTTTTTAAAAGAAAACATTTTTCATTAAAAACTGTTCCAGCGTATAAAAGCATCCCAGAGGTTTAAAGCAAAAAAGTTGCTGAAAAATCCTGAACCTAGCGGTTGAAAGCAAAAAAGTTGCCGAAAAATTTTAAAACCAGTGGTGGAAAGAAAACGTCTTTCATGACAAATTATTTTCCATGGTAGTTAAAAGCAACTCAGTGCAAGTAGTTAAAAGGAAAAAGTTGCTGAAAAATCTTTAACCCAGCGGTTGAAAGCAAAAAATTGTGTATAACTACTAAAAAAGTTTTAAAATGTGAATAAAAATATGAAAGAAAAAAAGCACAAATTTATTGATTTAACAAATTTTAAGTTTGAGAAAAAAAGGAGCATTTCTTATTCTGAACTGCGTAGAGTCTAGGCTAGATCTCAACCGCTCGTTCAACCGCTCCCGCTGAGTTTTTTTCTCCAAAGTATATAGCATTCATACTGACACGACTTTGGGACTTCAGACTTCAGACAGTATCTGAATTCAATCTTACCGTCATTTTAAATGTGGGCAAAATATTGGAGATTGTTTTCTATTGCGATTTAAATTTGCTGATTTATGGAGAAGAGATTTCTTAAATGGAGGGATATTTCAATCTTTAATTAGCTTTTTGTATTTTAACGATAAAAGTTTAAAATGAAATACAAGGAACTAATTCAAGGAAAATTATTTCAGAGGTGTACACAATTTTTGTACTGCAGTGTACTGTCTTTGGGGGGAAAAGTAAACACAAGGAGGATGTCACAGCCTGACATGGAATCCATTTTCACAAAATAATCTATGAAATAATCTGGTCATAGGAAACTATTATTTGGATGTTTTAAAATTATCAAATTTAAATGATTTTATCCTCCTCGGATACTAGACGAACACTGATGCATCTATTCTTGTTTACAAAGTCCGCCCAGAGAGAACTGGTTTCAATATGTACGGAGAGTACTCGACCGCAATTAACTTTCCTTGCATTAGTACCTTGATGATATATGTCTTTTTGTTAAATTGTTGTTACACGAGTTAGGCGAGAATAGTGACAACATTCCTAAATAATCTTGGTGACCACTGTACCTACCTAGTTCTAAGACCTGAGTATCCTATTTTCTCTTGATAATTCCAATCTGCAAGATGGAATTGAGCCAGGGAAACCCCATCATCAATTGACAGCGCTTTTTTCTGCCACCTATAGATTATAGAGACGTAATTTCATGTCTCCGTCCATTTCAAGAGTATTCTACAATCATGCTTTTTCTCTCTGTTGCATTAAATCCGAAATCACTTATATATAGAAACAACAATAAAAAAGTATCCCATTTTTTCTTTTTCATACGTACTGGTACAAAGGAAACCGTCACGTCATGAATCGGGCTACTCCAGACTCTACTCTACTCTACTCTACTCTACTCTACTCTACTCTACTCTACTCTACTCTACTCTACTCTACTCTACTCTACTCTAATCTACTCTACTCTACTCTACTCTACTCTACTCTACTCTACTCTACTCTACTCTACTCTACTCTACTCTGCTTGTTTCTTACTTGTACAATACATCTTCAACTGTATATCCGAAAGATCCAATTTCAAGTTTACATATCTGGGAGTCCAGTGGAAACTTTCTAAATCAAACATAATTAATAATCATTATTCATAATGAAAACAAATTATCAATTAAGCTTAGGTCCTAGTTCTTTTAGTTCGATAACTTTTGATCATAGTTTCATAATCTGTGAGGGCAATCAGGTTTAACAGTACGGCCCGTGTCCCGTGTCACTTAATCGATTCCAATTTTGCCTATTACAATTTAACCTATTTGATAAGACAAAAAAATTAAATTTTAAATGTTAAATTTTTTCTGATATAAATTTAACCGTATCAATTTGCCTTTTAAATACATATGCGTAAAATCATAGCTATGGGGACAAAGTCTAACCAGTAAAGGAAAAGATCAAATCAAAGATCTATGTGAAATAACTGGCCGATCGTAGCAAAGCAAAGTTATCTGGTTAAACATGAACCTTGGTTAAATTTGTAGGGAAAGCTAAAATTTGTCCAATCCTAATGATTCATAGTTTTTCAGAAAGCTGAAAGAAATTGATTTCTTGCCACAAACTCAAATTGTATTATCCCTATACCTTTGCGTCCTGATGGGGTAAACCTTTGATATTTCAATTTTAGATTACTTAATCTAACAGAATTCATATTTTGAAATATCTAAGGTCTACGACATCGCATTGCAAGATAAAGTGATGAGAAAATCAGAGTTTGTGACAAAACTTAGTTCCCTGAGGAGAATATTCAAGAAGCAAATTTTGTGTTATTTTCTTAAATTTATAGTTTTACTTTTACCTGAGGTTCATAGGACAAGCTGCCCATATCGTTAAACGCTGTGAATAACTCACTTTTCCAGATGGACTAATCCGGACAAATCTAAACAATAAAACTAGTTTTCCAGATGGACTAATACGGTCAAATCTAAACAATAAAACTAGTTTTCCAGATGGACTAATCCGGACAAATCTAAACAATAAAACTAGTTTTCCAGATGGACTAATCCGGACAAATCTAAACAATAAATCTAGTTTTCCAGATGGACTAATTCGGACAAATCTAAATAATAAAACTAGTGTTCCAGATGGACTAATCCGGACAAATCTAAACAATAAAAACTAGTTTTCCAGATTAACTTATCCGGACAAATCTAAACAATAAAACTAATTTTTAAGATGAAATAACAAATCTTTATATCTGTGATTTTGTTGTTTATTAAATTGTTTAATTATTACTATTAAAATGATATTTTGTTTTAAAAAATTAGGATGATATATATCTTGTTAACCTGTTGGGTACTGTAATCTTATGAAGAAAGGATTGTTTCCCATTTAGAAAGAAAGTGTCTGGTTTCCAGATTTTTGCTAGAAATGCCCAGTTCAAGGCCAGCTCATTCAGCCCTGTAGTGTTGTATCTAGAAAAGGGAGACTTAAACAATAAATCACATAATGATCATTGTCTCTGGGTGGATTAAAATTCAGATAAAATAAATTTATACGTTTTTTCAAAATATTCTGAACCGTATCCAGTTTTCTAGACAAGATGAACCGTATCCAGTTTTTTAGAAAAGATTAACTGTATTCGGTTTTCTAGACAAGATTAACCGTATCCAGTTTTCTAGAAAAGATGAACCGTATCCAGTTTTTTATCATAGCTGAACTGTATTCGGTTTTCAATAGACAAGATGAACTATATAAAGTTTTCTAGAAAAGCTAAACCGTGTCCAGTTTTTTAGAAAGCTGAACCGTATCCAGTTTTCTAGAAAAGCTAAACCGTGTCCAGTTTTCTAGACATGCTGAACCGTATCCAGTTTTCTAGACAAGCTGAACCGTATCTAGTTTTCTAGACAAGATGAACCGTATCTAGTTTTCTAGAAAAGATGAACCGTATCTAGTTTTCTAGAAAAGCTGAACCGTATCCAGTTTTCTAGACAAGCTGAAACCGTATCTAGTTTTCTAAACAAGCTGAAACCGTATCTAGTTTTCTAGACAAGATGAACCGTATCTAGTTTTCTAGAAAAGCTGAATCGTTTCCAGTTTTCTAGACAAGATGAACCGTATCCAGTTTTCTAGAAATGATAAACCGTATCCAGTTTTCCAGAAAAGCTGAACCATATCCAGTTTTCTACACAAGATGAACCGTATCCAGTTTTCTAGAAATGATAAACCGTATCCAGTTTTCCAGAAAAGCTGAACCGTATCCAGTTTTCTAGAAAAGCTGAACCGTATCTAGTTTTCTAGACAAGCTGAACCGTATCCAGTTTTCTAGACAAGCTGAACCGTATCTAGTTTTCTAGACAAGCTGAACCGTATCTAGTTTTCTAGACATGATGAACCGTATCTAGTTTTCCAGACAAGCTGAACCGTATCCAGTTTTCTAGACAAGCTGAACCGTATCTAGTTTTCTAGACAAGCTGAACCGTATCTAGTTTTCTAGACATGCTGAACCGTATCTAGTTTTCTAGACATGCTGAACCGTATCTAGTTTTCTAGACATGCTGAACCGTATCTAGTTTTCTAGACAAGATGAACCATAACCAGATTTCTAGAAAGGATTAACCGTATCTAGTTTTCTAGACAAGCTGAACCGTATCCAGTTTTCTAGACAAGCTGAACCGTATCTAGTTTTCTAGAAAAGCTGAACCGTATCCAGTTTTCTAGAAAAGATGAACCGCATCCAGTTTTCTAGAAAAGCTGAACCGTATCCAGTTTTCTAGACAAGCTGAACTGTATTCAGTTTTCTAGAAAAGCTGAACTGTATCCGGTTTTTTACTGTATGGAACCGGATGAATTTTTATTTTTCTTTTTTCGACATTTTTCACATTTATGAAGCGAAAAGATATAATGCTGCTATGCCTAAACTGTTCCCCTTTATTCTTAATTTTGTGTACTGCTGTTTTAATGTTTTGAAAATAGAAAAACAAACAAACACGCTGTCAATGAAACATCATCTTTTACATGAGGAATAGAAACCGGAGATCAAATATTTATAACTGATATCTAATCAACCCCATACAAAAATAAACAAACGAAGAATATTTAGATGATACTGTTTATTGATAGATAATACATACGTAGAGTTCATATAACATGGGTAGAGGGGGGGGGGAGTTAGGGAGTAATTTTTTTGTTGTATATTTGTAGAAACGCAGAACATAGAAGATCGGGAAAAATGTAAAACAATCGTAATTTAAATTTTTCGAAAAATTTATATTTTTTCATAAAAAACTAAATTACTAATTTGTTTAAGCTGCAAGAATTCATCAATGCATGCAATGAGCTGACTACAATCTTTATATCGTATTCTTATTCTCATTCTATAGTGGGCACTGGGCAACCTTTTTTTCGAAATCTTATTCTTTCTGAGGATCCCTGTTTAATTATTCTACCCCTGTATTCTTATTCTTATCCTTTGTATTCCTGTATCCTTTTTTGGCACTCCTGAATCTTTATTCTCATTATGTGTGAATAACCCTGGATCCTTATTCGTTATTCTTTATTCTTTATTGGAACATTTGTATTATTCTTATTCTTATTCTTATTTTTATCATCAATATTTTAGCTTGTATCCTTAATCTAATCCAATACGGGTAAGTCTGAATCCATATTCTCATATTTTGTGGGGATCTCTGGATCTTCATTTAATATTACCTTAATCTTTCATCCGTCCAGGTTTGTCTGAAGTAGCAATCCAGGGAGAATATTTCTTTATTCTCATCCACAGGGCCCATAGATCTGATAGCTAGGTTCACAAATACCTACAGTTAGAACCATAACACTGTGGAATAGGAAGAAAACAGTTAGACTCAAGTTATGATTATTAGTTGTACAAATGTACAATTGCACATGATACACTATATATTATCAATTTGGACAAATAAGATGCTATGAAGTGTAAAGGAATTGAGTCTTTGCCACAAACTCAAATGTTCTAATCTCGATATCTTTGCAGCCTGATGATGTAAATCTTTGATATTTTAAACTTTTAGTATTTAATTTAACACATTTCATAGTTTGAAATATCTAAGGTCTGCTACATACATTTGGTTTTAAAGATACAGTAAATAGAGAATCTGAGTTTGTGGCAAAGATTCAACTCCTTTGGATGCTTTGCGTAACCTAGCATAACCCAACCCTTGCTAATCTCTTCCTTTTTGTTCCTTTTTGAAAATGTTAAAGCATCAAAAACGTCACTAATACAGGTGCAAGACAATATATGTAAAATTCCCGCTTTTCCCTGATAAACTGATTCTTTTATTTTGGAATATAAAACCCCTTTGGAATATCTTTAACTTAATTTGTACTGAATAATGGGGTGGACATATAAGGGGAGGAGGGGCGGGGCGGTACTTGATGGCAATGTATATAATAAGTCACAATTACATCAACATCATACTTCTGAGACCAAAGTGTCGGATATCTGAGTCAAAATTCTAAGTCACAACGTTGTCTAAGACTCATTCTAAGTCACAATTCTAATAAAAGTTCTTAATTTGGAGACATACTGATGTCTAAGACTCATTCTAAGTCACACCTTGGACAAAACCACACTTTTGAGACCAAATTATGTCTGAGAAGCTTTCTAAGACTTATTCCAATGCACAACTATGACTATGACTTATGGGTTTCCAACCTACCGGTATAGGTTGACCCCCAAAGCTAGGTCTAAATCTCTTGTTATATCCTGACTCTGTGAGTAGATAATCAAGGGTTCGGGAAGTCTCACTCCCCATACTCTTCCCAGACCTTGAGATAGTTTAGATCAAATTTCAGATTATTAAAGTAAGTGAACGGTCCCTTTGAAGGAATTGTAAACGTAATTTTAAGTATCCTTCCGTTTGAAGAGAGCAATGCCCAAATGACAACAATACCCTTTAAAACGTTATCTGAGCCCGCGATTTAAAAACTTCGGCTCGAGCCGTAATTCCTTTAACACGACTTTAAGACCCAATCTTCAACCCAACTATGACAACAGCTTGTGTCACGTAATTAACAGCTGCAAGATCTTCGGCTCGACTTGAAGAGTTAGGACCAATGAAAATAAACCCGACCTTGGTTGGTATAAGTGGACTATGTGGAGTCTTGTTCTCGTGAAAACCCGGAATAAGCCAATTCCTACCATGAACATCCGCTAAATAGAAAATTAAACCAGTTTTTTTTAACTCAACTCGATGGAAAAATATTATAAAGCTTGAACCCAAAAACTAAAGCTGTAAATAAGGCCCGACGACAGCTTAGACCCGAGCCGTATTTTCCTGAGTTTTTATAATCGCGGGCTCTGAATAATAATTTGAGCTGAAGTTTTCTCTCTCTACTATTCACAACAATATCTTCCTCCCTGATGATCAGAAAACGATATAAATGGCACCGTTGTGAATTTACATTCCACTCTGTGACTCTGTAAAGTACGTCTACAGTTCCTTTAAATCATTTCATATGTATAGTAAAAAAGAAAAAATAATCTTGTATCTTTCCCTTTACTAAAAATAATGATAATATCTTAATAAGCTTCTTTAAAATCATTTCTAAATAATCTTTTTTTTAATATCAGATAATTGATTAATGGTCTATTTAATACCATTTAAAATGATTCACTTGAAAACAATAAAATTCCGTTAATAATTCTAAGAAGATCTTGTTGAAAAGATTAGAAATAATAGAGACCATTCCCTAGATTTTAAATGTACAAATATAAAAGATTTTACAAAATTCAAGATCAGATCAGTTGCTAAAGACTCGAGCCTTAAAGAGAGAAAACCCCAAGAGGGTTGGTTTTTACTAAACTCAAGGTCATCCAAACCCCGGGTCTTGACTTGAGCTTTACTTGGGTCTAAGCAGACGCAACTCGGGTTTAAGCTTTTAAAATCTCATCTCTGGAATAGTATAAACACGCGAGGTTGTTAACCCTATTCCTGCTGGGGGGGGGGGGTCAATTTGACCCCCCCCCCTGTAGTTTTTTTTACATAATTCAAAAAGTATTGGTCTGGGCTGTTGAAATTTTCTGACTTTTCTTACATACCCAAAGCCCTCCCTTTAGGCCTAAAAACGGGCTTTAATACTAACTGCCTGAGTCCTCAGGCACACTGCCTGAATGACTGCTTTTGCCTGTAACAAACTAAATCTTTGTTTTGACCCACTTTCACTTGTCAGATTTTGATAAAATTTAGCTTTTTGGAAAGCCTATGACATAAGGAAACGGATCGCACAAGTTTTGCGAAAAAAAAATTGCTAATTTTTTGCAAACAACCTGTCAAAGGAAATTTGCACATTTTTAGTTTTTCTTGATTAAAAATCAGGTTATTTAAAATTTTGCAAAAATTTTTGCATATTTGAAATGGCATGGTCAAGGGCTTTTCAAAAATGTATAATTTTTCATTTTTTGGACAAATTTTTTTTGCAAACATTTTTACTATACAACTGGATTTTGCGATAAAAAATTTAATTTTCGCAAATTTGCAAATTTTTTTGCAGATTCTAAAAGAAGAGCACAAGAGCTTTCTAATGATGTATCATTTGTCATATTTGGACATAAAACATGGGATTTAGAGGGGGGGGGTCAACTTGACCCCCCCCCCCCAGCGAATCCTGGTTTTCAAGTACCCCAGCAGGGATAGGGTTAAGAAATATGAGGAAGAGGAGGGGTGCGTTTCCAACGTTCGTAGTAATACTAACCTACTAAAACGCTGTTTTTTCATAAGCTAAAAAATGATACCATAAATTAAGGGGAAAAATTATCTTTCAACCTTGTTTAAACTTACTTATAAAATGATCTTTTCTCTCTTAAGATGTTTGGTGAAGATTGGGTTGAGTTCACAAGATCTTGCATAGCTTTCATATCGTCAATCTGGCCGATTCTATCAATTTCTTCAATCTCGACGAATTTGACTAAACTTGGTTCTAAGATGGTTTGTGCTTTTACAAGCTGTTGTAACATTATAGAGCATATTAATATTTTTTTGAAAAACATTTTCTGAAAATAAAAACCTAACCTAAATAAAAAATTAAACTAAAGTAAAATATGCTGAGATTATCCTAACTAGTTTATCTTCTAAAAGCAGTTTTGACTGATTGGATACAAAACTTCCAAGAACAAAATGTTCAATAACAAAACACCCAAAACATAACACCTAAAAACAAAACACCCAAGATTTCAAAATGTCCAAAGTTACAAAATGTTCAAAGCAACAAAAGCCCAAATAACAAAATGTCTAAAGTTACAAAATGTCCAAACTTACAAAATATCCAAAGTTACAAAATGTCCAGAGATAAAAAATGTCCAAAGTTACAAAATGTTCAAAGTTACAAAATGTCCAAAGTTACAAAATGTCCAGAGATAAAAAATGTCCAAAGTTACAAAATGTCCAAAGTTACAAAATGTTAAAAGTTACAAAATGTCCAGAGATAAAAAATGTCCAAAGTTACAAAATGTTCAAAGTTACAAAATGTTTAAAGTTACAAAATGTTCAAAGTTACAAAATGTCCAAAGTTACAAAATGTTCTAAGTTACAAAATGTCCAAAGTTACTAAATGTTCAAAGTTACAAAATGTCCAAAGTTACAAAATGTCCAGAGATAAAAAATGTCCAAAGTTACAAAATGTCCAAAGTTACAAAATGTTAAAAGTTACAAAATGTCCAAAGTTACAAAATGTCCAAAGTTACAAAATGTCCAAAGTTACAAAATGTCCAAAATTACAAAATGTCCAGCTGTCCAGAATTAAAAAATGTTTAAAATTTTCTAAAAATGTCAAAATAATAAAATGTTTAATTACAACTTAAAAACTTGTATTTTTATTTTTAAACAAAAAAGATTAAAAATCCCTATTACTAAGATACTAAGATACAAAATATTTGGTATGCAAGTTACTAAGATTTTATAACCTTGGACATTTTGTAATTTCGGAAATTTTGTAATTTAGGACATTTTGTAACTTTAAACATTTTGTAACTTTAAACATTTTGTAACTTTTGACATATTGTAACTTTGGACATTTTGTAAATTGGGGCTTCTTGTTATCTTATATGTTTTTTTTATTTGGGTGTTTTGTTTTTGGACGATTTGTAACATTGGGTGTTTTGTTTTTGAGTGATGTGTAATTTAGGGTGTTTTGTTATTGGACATTTTGTTTTTGGGCGTTTTGTATCCACTCCGTTTTGAAATGCCTAATCAACTTTGCTAATTTAAAACAAAAACTTAAACTGAAGGTGCTAATAATAAAACTTCTTGAATTGGAACAGTGATTTTTTCGGCAGGTAAAGAAACTTCGGCTGAAACGAGACAGATTAAACAAAAAATATAGAATTATATTCTTTTTTATTCCTTTTATAAAAAAGGTTGCACTTGTTTGTCTCGCAAAATACAGCCTCAAAAAGATTTTTGATATTTAGGCAATGAAAAGTTGGTTTCATTTTATGTGGTCACATGAAATGCAGAACCCATAATGAAAAAATCTTTGCTTGGACTTGTGGTACTCTATGATTATTGTTTTATTCCAAAAAAAGTCTGAGGCCGAATTTAAAGAATTTGCGCCGCGGCTAAAATAATATTGGTTCCGCCTAAAATCGTATTCAATGTTTCAAGATTTAAGCCGGCGCTAAATTGAAACCGGTTTTTGGGGGATTTGAGACGCGGCTCAAATTCATGAAATTCGGTTAAATGAGAGAATGCTAAAATATATTTATGTATTTTAAAGGTTTATCATTCAAAGGTTTCTTCAAAATTCTGTATAATTTGTTATGCGTTTTTTACAAATGTGTAAAATTACAAGAACTAAAACCCGATGGTCTGCAGTACAAAATAATTTCCCTGTATGTATGTAGTAAATGCCTTACTCCAATATATACTTTTAGACCAGTACCAATCCAAGCACAACTCAATCTAGAACTCGAGGTTCCTCTCAATGCCATAGTCAATATCAATCCGGATACGGCCCAGTCTGTATTCTCAGGTATCTGTCTTACAAGATAGAATGTAATTCCCAATCTATATCTTTCAAGAAAGTGATTCAGGACGCTTCTCGTTCGCTAACCAAGAAACAATTACTCTCACACCGTACCTAGGTTAGGTTAATCGTTATTACAAGTTTTGCGTAGTTATTTAAAAGCGCATTTAGATTTACAGACAATGTACAACGTATTTTATCTAAGTGTGTTCATGCTTATGACTATGGGATTTGCTACGGTATTTGATACTTGTAAACAGTTAACAGGTAAGAAAGTTGTAAACTGACCGCTAGATAGATGTCTCACTAGCTAACAGAATATACTGTAAACAGTATAATAACTAGGGACAGATTGATACACTAGGAGAACACCTTTACCAGGGCTTTTTCAAATAATGTTTATAACCAAATTTTTTTTATTTTATAACCAAAGTATAAACCTATGCGACTTTCAGAAATGAAAAGTTTTAAATTGAAAAAAGAATAAACTTTTTTTTTTGTTTGTTTTAAGAGCAATGACAAATGATTTTCTAATTTCAAAATTATTGTACTATTTCCGTAAGCCCCCTTGTGTTGATCCCCCCCATACCCCTGTTTAAAGAATGCCCCCCTGTAAGGTAACCTAAAGAAAGCACACACTGATATAATGAAGCTACTGTCCAAGGTTCTTATATTTGAAGGATAGATAGTTAGGGAATAACGAAACTATTATTCAAGGAGTTGACATTTATAGAAAGATAGATAATTGGAAGAAAAATCAAATCTTTGGTGTTCATTTTTAAGAATGGAAAGCGGGGGGAAATGAATGCTGATGAAAATGGAAAATTAGACATAAAAAGTCAAGTTTTTTTAATTCCTTTTGATACTTTTCCACCAAAATGTATTTATTTTCCCCCAAAAGGTATTTATTTTCCTCCAAAATTTATTTATTTTCCCCAAAAATCTTGAATCCCTATTTATCGAATAATCTCCGAAAAAGAATGTTCCGGTCTGCTCAAACATACATAAGTTCCAATCCTATATTTTAGAGTTATATGACTAATAAGAACAAAAGATTGTTAGATAACATAAAAACACATTTAATACACGAATTAAAATACGCAAATGTGTTGCTAATTGTAATGAATTTTGCAATGTATCGCTGACTATCTACCTTACTGTGCTATTCATATTTTGTATTATAATTCTATCTTTAGTTTTTGTGACCTGGCCGGTCATACCGGCCCGTATAACCATGTTTATAAATAAAGCAGTTGTATACAGACTCTTGTTCAGTAGAGACGGAATCAGTCTGGTTAGACTGATAATTAGAGTTAGAGGGGGTTTACCCATACAGAAGTCAGGGTTGACTGATTATTAGAGTTAGAGGCAGTTTAGCTATAAAGATTTAGTGAGGAGGGATGGGCTATAGATTATTGCACTAATATTAAAGTTGTCGGTTATACATAAGTCGTATAGATTTTTTCAAATCTTTTTTATCTGTCTTAACTTTTAGCGCGCATCCTTGACTAACCTGCTTTTCTAGAATTGACAGAATACATATTTGCCAAAAACATGGAGTGTAAAAAGTTTTTTATTCGTTATAGTAAAAAATTCTTAATCCATTTCTTTCTAATAAAGGACTTCAGACTTCGTTCCTCCCTACCTACATTTTTCCTCCTATATCTTTACTTTCTTTCTAATACAGGACTTCTGACTTCCTTCCTCCCTACCTACATTTTTCCTGCTTTTATCTTTACTTTCTTTCTAATACAGGACTTTTGCTTCCTTCCTCCCTACCTACATTTTTCCTTCTATATCTTTACTTTCTTTCTAATACAGGACTTCTGACTTCCTTCCTCCCTACCTACATTTTTCCTTCTTTATTTTTACTTTCTTTCGTCTATTTTACTTTTTCCTAAAACTCAGGTAATTTTCCTAAAAATCAGATAATTTAAAACAAATATTTCGAAAATATTTTTATTTCACGAGGCTTTTTGCCTTACCAGATTGTTTTGGTGTTGTAATTTTCTTGTTCTTCACGATTTTCCAAGTTTGAAAGCGAAATAAATGAAATGTCTTATTTACCCTGTTGTCTACGGGCTGTGAACCCTGCCGTCTACTGGCTGCGAACCTTGCCGTCTACTGGCTCTGAACCCTGCCGTCTACTGGCTCTGAACCCTGCCGTCTACTGGCTGTGAACCCTGCCGTCCACTGGCTGCGAACCTTGCCGTCTACTGGCTCTGAACCCTGCCGTCTGCTGGCTGTGTATACCGCCGTTGACGGCAGAGATCAGTTTAGCGACTGGTCAAAATCATTAAATTAGGTTAGATTACTTAATATCTTTGGAGTTGCTTTGTCTCTAGTTTTCATTTTTGATTGAAGCAAAAACTTATTTAGCTAGTTACTTGTACTTGTACAATTTATCATACATAGATTTGTATTTAGATTTGTTTATTATTGCACAATTATTAAACACATTATTGTTTTATATTTAAAATACTTTGGTTTAATTTTGTATACTTTTGTGTAACATTGTTTTATCCATTTACTGTACTGCAGTCATATATATATATATTTCAATAAATAAATAAATAAATATTTAAGATGTTGGAAAATTTCTTTCAATTAAGCTTGCCACTGGATCTGAAACAAAATGATAATTAATAATAAAACAAAAACAACACAAAATACAATTTTAAAATCAATTTGTTTATCTTTCTACAGTTTATTTTTTGAAAATAAATCCCCCTTAAATATTATAAATATATATTTTGCAAAAATCCGATTAATTTTGATAAAATTGATAAAAATCAGAGTAATTCAAAATACTGTTTCACCCAAAAAGGATGAGACTGTAAAGACGACCGGAAACACTTGAAATAAAACAATTTTAAGGCTAAATTATCTATTCTCATGGCTTGTTCAAAGGTTTAAAAACGAAACAAACTTTACAGTTGCAGTGAATCGTGAAATATAAGGAAACAAACAGTTTTGATTCCGCACAGTCGTCTCTGAAGATGTATCATTTAAGGGTGACCCTGAAGCATTTTCAATTTTAATTATGAGTAAATCATAATAATTTATTATTTATTACTTATAATTATCTTTAAGTGAAAGGACATGACTGATTTCAATCAAACAACATTTATGTATAATTAGACGAATATAGCCTTCTACCCTCTTCTTTTACCAACACTTTTAAATTGACATTTTTGTACATGCTTAATGTAAAAGAACGGACTAAACAAATTCCTTACAATCGTCTCTGAAGTCTCATCCTTTGTGGGTGTAACCCTGTATAGTAGTTTAAACCCCATTGAAAAATATCAAGCCGACAATTTATAAATTCTTTCAATAACTTCGAACTTCTGGTATAAACTGTATGAAAATCAGATTCAGAAGAAAAAAACACGAATAACTTAATTTTTTCTTTTACCTAAACTCTTAAGTCTTCAATTTTATAATGAAGTTTTTGTTGTCTGTTTTTCAAGAACTGTTGAACCTTGCTGCCCCGGAATTCTGGTGAGGGTTGAAACCTTTTAAATAAATCAAACCATTAAAAATGACGAATGACTTTAAACTTTTTAGAATTTAAAATTAAATGCCGATATTCAGTGAATTAAGAAATTTTGAAATTGAATTTCTTCAGCTTAAAAGTCCTTTATGCTGATTAAGCTGAATTCATTATCGGTTTAAAAACACTGCAATTTTTATTTTAAAAGAAAAAACACAAAAAATCTTTTCATTTTTAGAATATTATTGTTATGTATTTCCTGTAAATATTTCTACTAACCGGAAGTTATTAAAAGATGCAGGTCTAAGCCTGGCTAGGAAAGCTGGCAGGTCAACTTGACGAATAGGTCGACGAAACTTGACATTTCTGTATCCTAAAAGTTAAAAATCAAAGGAACTGAAATTTTGCCACAAACTCCTATTTTTTAATCCCTTTATCTTCGCAATCTATACAGGATCTCTGTATACAGAATACTGTTGTACTAGGATACATATGAGGATCATCTGTATCCAGGATATTATTGTACCTGGATGCATATGAGGATCATCTGTACCAGGACATTATTGTACCAGGATACATATGAGGATCATCTGTATCCAGAATATTGTTGTACTAGGATACATATGAGGATCATCTGTATCCAGAATATTGTTGTACTAGGATACATATGAGGATCATCTGTATCCAGAATATTGTTGTACTAGGATACATATGAGGATCATCTGTATCCAGAATATTGTTGTACTAGGATACATATGAGGATCATCTGTATCCAGGAAATTGTTGAACTAGGATACATATGAGGATCATCTGTATCCAGGATATTATTGTACCTGGATGCATATGAGAATCATCTGTATCCAGGATATTATTGTATCTGGATGAATATGAGGATCATCTGTATCCAGGATATTATTGTACAAGGATGCATATGAGAATCATCTGTATCAAGGATATTATTGTACCTGGATGCATATGAGGATCATCTGTATCCAGGATATTATTGCACCTGGATGCATATGAGGATCATCTGTATCCAGGATATTATTGTACAAGGATGAATATGAGAATCATCTGTATCCAAGAAATTATTGTACCTGGATACAGGTGAGGGTCATCTGTATCCAGGATATTATTGTACCTGGATGCATATGAGAATCATCTGTATCCAGGATATTATTGTACCTGGATGCATATGAGGATCATCTGTATCCAGGATATTACTGCACCTTGATGCATATGAGGATCATCTGTATCCAGAGTATTATTGAACCTGGATGCATATGAGGATCATCTGTATCCAGGGTATTATTGAACCTGGATGCATATGAGGATCATCTGTATCCAGGATATTATTGCACCTGGATGCATATGAGGATCATCAGTATCCAGGATATTATTGTACCTGGATGCATATGAGGATCATCTGTATCCAGGATATTATTGTACCTGGATGAATATGAGGATCATCTGTATCCAGGATATTATTGTACAAGGATGCATATGAGAATCATCTGTATCCAGGATATTATTGTACCTGGATACATGTGAGGATCTTCTGTATCCAGGATATTATTGTACCTGGATTCATATGAGAATCATCTGTATCCAGGATATTATTGTACCTGGATGCATATTAGGATCATCTGTATCCAGGATATTATTGCACCCGGATGCATATGTGGATCATCTGTATCCAGGGTATTATTGAACCTGGATGCATATGAGGATCATCTGTATCCAGGGTATTCTTGCACCTGGATGCATATGAGGATCATCTGTATCCAGGATATTTTTGCACCTGGATGCATATGAGGATCATCTGTATCCAGGGTATTATTGAACCTGGATGCATATGAGGATCATCTGTAACTAGGATATTATTGTACCTGGATGCATGTGAGGATCATCTGTATCCAGGGTATTATTGTACCTGGATGCATGTGAGGATCATCTGTATCTAGGGGTAGAGCAAAGGCAGGATTAGAGGGCCCAGGGAGAGGAATATATTCAACTGTATGGAACGGATCCAAGGGAGGATACCTGAAATATAGTACTGAGAACTTTTAAACAGGGATTCTTTAATTTCCTTGCACCTCCCTTTAGGTATTTTAATACAGTCCCTTTGTTGCTTGCCAATCATTCTCAGAGCTCGAAACATTTTTTAAAAAATATTTACAAATCTTATGAGTTCAAATCCTTAATTCAAAAGTTTAGAACTTCCCACGCCTCCCTCCTCTCTCGCCCCCGCCCATTAAATGCGTCATTGAAAAAAAGATCTTATATTTGATTTACTGTTAACCGAAGCTTTTTAGTCGAGGAGATCTAAAGAAAATGTCAAGATGTAATAAATATAGTAGTAAACACCCATATATGTAAACCTCAACTTCCCTATATGCATTACATGATTACATTATCTGTATCCTAATTACGCTTGTTAATGTCTTAGAAAACCTATCGGTCATCATTAACATTTACTACAATTAAGTTTAATTACGTTCATTAATTTATCATTTATTTAATGGAGTTTGTGAATGCCAGAAATGAGTGGAAAATGCAAATCAAACCCAACTAAAACCAATATTTTGATATACATCAAGATATTTTTCTGGGGGGGGGGGGTAAAAAAAATGCTAGGGGGGTAAAACATTTCTAAATTTTCCCCCCCCCCCCCTACAGAATCCTTATTTACGCCCCTGAATCCTTGCCATTCCTTTTCTCCCCCCCCCCTTACCGGAAAAACCCATGTATCCCCTTACTTACGCATGTACTTTTACCTAACATAATTATATTCTTACCATTTTATAACCGTATTTTTTCCCTTTTACCCCCCTCCCTCCTTACTTTCCTATATTATTGTGTCTCTAATGTCATTTATAATAATTCTATCTTTCAATTTAGGTTCATTACTTACAGAGAAAATCTGAACTGGAAACACATTCCTGATTTAAAATACGTTCCCAACTTAGAACGCGTATTTTAACCGTTCTTTTCAACCAATTCCCGTTCCGTTCCGTTCTTTTACTAATCGTTCCAAAATTTTTAAGAACGCGTTCTGAGCGTTCGTTTTTTTCGGAACGATGGGATCGTTCTTGATCGTTCCGTTCGTTCTCGGGAAAGAACGATCGTTCCACCAGGAACGAGCCCAGCCCTAGCTATAGAGTGTAAAAATCGACTTGATTGCTCGACATACAGGAGTTGACTTGGGATAGGAGAGAAGGTCGTTTTTCCGCTGTTCTAAGTTTTGTCTGATCTGGCATTCGACCGGCAGGTCAGTAGTTAGCTGGTCAGCGGGATAGCTATACCCATTACTAGGGAGTGTTTTCAGCAGATTAATGCTTGTCTTACAGAACGATTAAGCGGCCTGATTGCTGCTTTCTGGTCATACAATACCTGGGGGGAGGTCTGTTATCAGCTGGTTTAAATTGTCTGACTGGTCGGTTAACCGGTCTGCCTGCAACCAGCTGGTCATCTAAGGAACCGGGTTGGAACCCCTGGGCTGTGTGGGAGGGACCAAAACCAGCAAAGTTGTAGATTTTACTATAATAGAAAACATTCTAATATATTGTAGAAAAGTATTTCTTGGCATGATCTATGCGATTATACCTTCCTGCAAATGTCATACACAGAATTTGTAACATCAATTCCCATTGCGACAAAATTATACAGTGGCCAGCGTTTATATCAACACAATAATTTGTAATTCATTCTAATTGAAAGCTTGGTTAAGATCAAAATTTAAAAACTTCTTTATTCTGTTGCTTTGAGCGCCGACAGTTCCACACAACCTATTTCCAGGGGGGGTGGTATCTAAAAATTAGAAAGCTACTTTTTCCGAGTACCAACTTAAAAGCCTCCTCTGGCCATTATTATTATTTTTTTTTTAAATCTTCCAAATTGGAGAAAACTACTTAAAATGTCGTCTTATTTAGATCATTTTCTTACAAAATTATTCACTATACAATAGAAAATAAGACTTAAAGGACATTATTCAGAATTTGTATAAGAATTTGTATTAAACAAATTCTGAATAAAAATAATGCTCTTCCCTCATTTGTATATACATGTTAGCTATAGATAGCTGGTTAAACGGATTGACCCAATGGGCTGACATTTTTATGGAACCCTATAGTACAGGGTGTCCCAAAAAACAAGGGAATTCAGTGACAAATTCGATATCGTCTTTGTTATGAATTAGCATTGTAATACCTAGTTTCAAAAGCCATAATAGAATCAAGGGCGTATACAGGGGGGGGCATGGGGGGCAGTGCCCCCCCCTAGACTTGTAAAGGGGGGGGGGCGTAGCCCCCCCCTAGAATTCTGCAAGCCTTTCACACTTTTCAAATCTTAACTGAAGAGTGAAGAACAGAAAAAAAATAAGTTTGCTTTTCATGATTATTATAAAAAATCAAAATTTTAAAATATATATAATTACAGTGCAGTGCTCATGCTGTAACCAAGTTAACCTAACCAACCTAACCTAATTTTAACTTTTAAGTTCACAGAGTACACAGAGTTTAGTTGGGTTCAGAGAACACACAGTCTGCATACATTTGTACAGCTCACACACTTTACATTATATGCTAGTCTTGTTTAGTAGTGATGTGAGTCTGTTAAAAGTTGCCGTTGTGACTGGTATCTGTGAATTGCTGATTAATAATTATCATGAATCAAATACTGTTATTTATAAGCCTTGAGTTATCATTCATTCTTAGATTGCAGCAATTGTACTCCTACTTTTTTTCACAACAGAAACTTTTACAAGTCATAATTATTTTCTGGACCTTTGTACTTCTTTTCATCTCATAGAATTTAAGTTTAAGTTAAGTTTTTATTTTCAAAAATGTCGTTTACTATCTCTAGTTTAAATACTAAATATACCTATAAAAGTATAATAAAATGTCGATTTTTTAGAAACAATGCTTAGAAGGTAATTATTTGGACTGTATGTGTGACTTTTAAGTATCTTATACTTATGCCTGATATCCAAGAAGCCAAGTGTTATGAATTTACAGTTCCAATTTTGCCCCCCCCTAGGAGCTCCTAGGGGGGGGCAAAAATTTTTTTTGCGCTTCGCGCAAATCTTGCCCCCCCCTACATTTATTTCTGTATACGCCCTTGAATAGAATTATTATGTCTGCTAGAGTTTATTTAATGAAAAGGGTAAAAGACTACAAAGATGTGTATATAATGTCTCCGCAAGATGAACACGGACAAGTTTACTCTGTTTGTATACTGCAATTTTTTTGTTTTAACTAATACAACTGTATGCAGTCAAAACATAAACAAACAACATGTGAATATAGCAGACGAAACTCTTACAGCTTTCTCAGTAGTTATCACCATACTAAATCAAAGAATTATTTGAAGAGACGATATCGAATTCGTCACTAAATTCCCATGTTTATTGGGACACCCTGTATCCCAGGGATAACAATTTCAATTTTGATTTTTGAAAAAAAATCTTATTTTATTTTGTTAAAATTCGATGTAAAATATATTCTACGGGCAACACCGGGCAATTCAACTCGTGATCAATAAATTCTTACCCTGGAGTAAGATCAGGAGTTGGAAAGGAAATGCTGAAAGGGGATGAGGATTGGAAGGAGGAATAGAATGATGGGAAGGAGGAGGAGGAGGAAGGTGCTATGAAAATGAGAAAGATTAGAATAATTTAGCGCATTTTAAGGGATGTCAATTAAATAACCGAAGGGGGTTTTGATGTCCATTGATTCTAACATTTCTGAGGGTAACTGACATACCTAGCCTGTTTAGGGCTGGTTTTCACTCTTGCCTTAACAAGTGAAAAACATTTGAAATCTGATAGGAATTCTTCATTAAACAATTATTCAAAAATCTTCAAACACAATCACAATAACTCAAAAAATGTTCTATCAAATCAAATCAAATCAAATCACCACTTTTCCAGAATGATGCCCATATCTCAATTTTCAAAATTCATTATAAATACAATTTTGTATAAAAATGGTAGTTTTAAACAGATCCTATTCAGCAAATACGCAACCAATCTTAAAACGAAAATATCCCAGGGAAACTTTTAGATTTTCTCCAATTATTATTTTATAAGTTCTATTTTTATTTTTAATAGATATAATTGACAACATTATTTATAAGTCCGTATTACGTCTAGGGTTCTTAATTGTTTTTGAAAACGATTGTTTCGTATTAAGGAAAAAAAACGATAGTTTTTAAAAAACGACCTACTCGTTTTGAACTTTTAGAAAACGAATAACGATCGTTTTTATACAATTTTTTTCAATGATAAATATCTTAACGATCATTAACAAAGGGTCGTCGTTAACGATCGTTAAAAAAAAAAAAAAAAAAAAAAAAACTTTATAAAAACTGTCGTTTTTGAAAAAAATTAAAAATCGAATGTCGTCTTATTTGAAGGTAAAAAGTTGTGGGGGAGCTAAAACTTCTTGGTGTTTTCTTTAAAACTGCTCAATGATAAGTACCGATGACCTTAAGGGCAGTTTCCTCTCTGCTCCTCTCTTCATTAACGATCCTTGACGAAGGGTCGTCGTTAACGATCGTTTAGGAAGGGTAGTCGTTAATGATCGTTAACAAAGGATCGTCGTTAACGATCGTTAAAAAAGGGTCGTCTTTAACGATCGTTAACAAATGGTCGTCATTAATGATAGTTAACAAAGGGACGTCGTTAACGATCGTTAACGAATTGGCGAGGTTTATAAAAAAACGATTACTTCGTTTTCGTTTCGTTTTCTTTTTCTGGCGTCGATTTCATAATAATTGAGCATTTTTTAAAAATATGAAAACGTTAAAATCCCTATACGTAACAAGAACTCCCTCCAATGGTAGTGCAGTATAGAAGACAGGTGTATGTCTGTATCATGTGACCGGTACAATGCACTCTCATCGGCGGGAGTTCTTGTGACGTAATACAGACTTACAAATAATATTATCAATTATATCTATTAGAAATAAAAATAAAAACTATAAAATAATAATTGGAGAAAACCTCAGTTAGAATTAGGTTTCTCTGGAATTTCTATACAAAATTGTATATTTATGAATTTTTGTATAAATTTGACATAGTTTTATATCAATTTCTTGAGACAGGAACATCAGATAGAACTTTCATATGTTTCGATTAAGAGCTAAATTGATTAGATTTCAGCCTATACCCCCTTTCATTTTTCCTTTACAGTCCCTTTAATAATCAAAATTTAATTATTTTTTTCTACCTTGTCTTCGAAATCTAGTTTGTCCTTGATTGAATCTCGTTGGTTCCAGGGGTAGTTTACCACTTTCATCTCATAGTTAAGTTTTATCATTATTATCATTATAATTAAAATACTTTGAAACTATCATATCATTATTATTATTGTAGATATGTACCCCCCCCCCCCTTCTAATTATTCTACCCTACATGCAAATCCTAGAATAATGTGTTTAAATGTTGCTGAGATTGCACCATACGAGCAATCAGTCCAGATTTTAATCCAGTGTTTAGATAAAAAAGCAAACCAGCTCAGCGCAAATCAAGAGTTCAGAAAAAAAGTAAGAAATATTGAAAGGTCATCTGATATCATATAAAGCTTTAAAGAATATTGTAAAATTTTAAATTATTAAAATTAAAAATAATCATCATTTTTATAGTTTATGTAATTATAATACTAATTATAAAATTAGTATATCAGTAATATTTTCAATATGATTATACAACATAATCATTGACATTATCATTATAATTGTCAAATTATTACAATTATCATTATCCTAAAGATAATTATTATGAATGCAATAAATATGATGATTATCATACAATTAATTCATCATCAATTAATTACAATTAAAAAATGTATCATCATAATTATTAAGACCAAAAAAATCGTAAGCTTATAACTTAATTAACCATACCATCATCCTAATTTCAAAGCCATTATGATGATCATTTGTTATCCTTTGAATGAAAAACATCATGATTCATCTTACCAACTTTTACAGGCTGGTTCGGTTTATAGTCTTCAGCTTTATCTTGCTGAGTCAACACAGGTTCAGGTTCAGTAGCATCAAGAACAACTTCCTCTTCTACATTCTCTTCATAGACTACATTTACAGGTTCAGAAGCATAAAGTGGACCCACTTCTTCTTGGTCTAAATTCTCTTCATAAATTTTATTGTCAGCTTCTACTTTATCAAGAAAAGAAGGTTTTAGATCTTGCTCTAAAATATAAATATTAACCTTTCCTATACTTTTTCTTTAAACATACTTCGAATATAGGAAACAATGTGAAGGAGATTAAAAATTTTCTTTTTTGTCAAAAATTTTACAAACAAGGTATTTTTCAATCAGTTGGTTTCAAAATGGCAGTTTGTCTTCTTATTGAATGCATAAATTAACAATGAAAAAATGGCCAATTAATCAAATAAACCGATATCTCAGGAACTTTTGTGAGTATTGATAACCTTACACGCTAAATCTCGATATCAAATGTGGACACTTTAGAATTCGAGGATAATGCTTGATCCCTATAACATACGGTTAGGCTTGCAGGGCACAGCATACCGTTAGTTATCTAAGAGGAATTTGTTAACCCTATTCAGGGCCAGTCTGATACCAGGTTTATCCAAAAAAAGACCTCTTATATTTCCTTAATTTGATACAAATCTTTAGCATTTAATACAGGTTTGGAAAACCGTTGGGCTTTTATTTAATGATCTGCCAAAAAATTTGCAAATTTTGCAAAATTTCAAATATTTATTACAATCTCAAGGGATTAAGAAAAAATGTTTAAAAACAGAAAGTGCGAATTCTCTTTGAAGGCATCTGTCTAAAAATGCCTCCAGAATTTCGTCGGGTATAGGCAAAATAAGGAATTCAGGCAGTAGGTATAAAATCACAGTTTTAAGCCTAAAGTAAGGGGCATGTATTAGTTATCTTTAAAAAAACGTCAGGGGGTCCCAGGAATACCCCCCCCCCAGCCGGAATAGGGTTAGTCCGTCTGCATAAGAAAGAGATCAACGCTTGATCCCGGATATATAGCACAAAAGAGCTCACTATTGATCTTATTTTCGTAGACATATTTTGTAAAGGGTTTGTTTTCGACTGGTATCAGTATTATCTAAAAATGTTTAAGTTCTGGTCAAAAAAAAGTTTCAATGGTAAAAGGTAAATAAATTAATTGATTAATGAGTTGATAAATTGAGAATTGTATAGATAGATCGGAAAGGTTCCTGGAGTGATTATTGAAAATAGCATTGGTGAACTTCGGGATAATTCAGTTTCTCCAAGCTTTAATTCTAACTAAACTATAATGTTATAAATCTTGATTTATCTATATCAGGCTATTCTCGCCATAAAATTGAGGCTTAAAAGTTATGATTAAGTCATTTAAAGAGACTGTTTTTTCTAACGACTCTCCATGTAAACACCAGTGGCACGTCCGATCCACAACGGTATCCTTTTATCTGAGTAACATACAGGAAGATATCCTCGTTTTCTATCTTAAGCAAGTTTAATTCTTAAAATTTCATTTTTTGGCTTTTCAACGTTTATTGGCAAGTCAGTTTTCTAGAGAAACCAGAGTTAAAAGAACATACAAAAAGCTAAGAGTAAAGAACAAGAAAATTTGAATAAAAGTATCAATAGTTTTCCGTTCTCAATTTTGTATTGGGAGAGAAGAATACTTTTTTGGTTCTTGAAAATGGTTCCTGAAGATGTTTCAACCTTACCAAGGAATCATAATATTTACATCAGGACAGTCGTTTTGTGCATTTAGAGAATTTGAAAATAAAATTGCATTAGTTTTCTCAAAGTTAATAGTAAGTTTATTAGACATGTACCAACAAGTTATTTTTTCTAATTCTTTATTTATTGTGTCTGCTAGAGTATTCAAGTTTTTACTTTTTGATGCCACATTTGTGTCGTCGGCAAAGGCTACACTGAAAAGTGTGTTAGATTGGAAGAAGTCATTTACATAGATAATAAACAGTAAACAGCTTAGACTTGATCCTTGAACAAGACCCATCTCTAATATTTCGACTAAGTCCGAGAAGGTACCATTTATATCGACTTTTTGCCCCCTGCCCCGTAAGTAAGATTCAAACCATTGTAATGTGTTGCCCCTTATTCCTGCGTTGTCAAGCTTTTTTAGAAGTATCTTGTAATCAATACAGTCGTAAGCTTTAGAAATATCTAGCATGATAAGTAAAACAGATTCATTATTATTTAGTGCGCTAAAAATATAGCTTAAAAGCTTAGTAATTGCTTGCATAACATTGCGTCCAGGCAAAAAACCAAATTGATTTGTTTTAAAAAAGTTATTATTGTTGAGAAATGAAAGCATTCTTTTATGTAGAATTTTTTCCAATATTTTAGAAAATCCGTTGATTAATCCAATTGGACATACGACTATTTCAAACTTGGTGTTCATGTTTTCATCATACTTAAATTTAGTGACCGGAGTTTTCAAAAGAAAAGAAGGAAGTAAAAAACGTTTCTCATAAAAAAAGGATTCTTAACCCTATCACGAAGGGGTGGGGGGTTTACAATCCCCCTCCCATCTGTAGTTTCAAAATAAGAAAAAAAGAAGCAATGCTCAAAATTTCTTGAACATTATCTGATGTGCTTTTAAAATCTTTCATTAAATCTTTCCTTGCTCACTTACCATTAAACTTTATTTTTTTTTTATGTCCAGGCCTTGAAAAGTAAAGTATGTGTTTGATAACTTTGTCAGTCGTTAGGTTTATGTCTCAATTTATGTTCCATGATTTTTGGACCAGAGACATGTATCACGCTCCCCTATCTCAACTCATGTGGGAGTGGAAACCCTCCCCCAATCTATATTGAACAAAAAAAGCCTATTTTAAGGTAAAATAAAATCTCTATTAATTTATTTCTTTTGTTTTTTGAAAGGAGGCAAAGAACTGGAGAAAAAGATTTGCTTTGATACTTGATAATTTCCAAATTATTGAAAATAAAAATGTTGCTCTAAGAATGAACACGAATTGAAATAAATTGTTTTTATACTTACATACGAAGATACATATGCTATTATAGAAAATTAACAGTGGAGTTTGATGGTGGATAGATAGATAGTTAGTGTGGGATCCTTATATTATAATATTGCTTTGTCACTGTTTATTGAACCCGTAAACATTAAACATTTCAACAATGGTTTCGTCTTCTAGCGGTTATCAAATAACGGAGTAAATCAAAGGTTCAGCATCTTGGAGAAAAATAAACAAATCCATATTTTGGTATAACGGAGAGATTCATTTTAGTTTTTATGCAGGGTGGTCCAATAAACATGAACCAAAGACGACATTCACGAGTTTTTTTATGAAAATATCACGTATATTGGGACACCGTGTATTTATCAATCATACATTATAGTTCCTGAGGGATAGAGAACTGCATAGGAGAGTTCCTGGATAACGTGGATTCCTCCAGGTTGAAGGATACAGTGGGTAAAGAAAACCCCATCGGAGAGTTTCGAGCCAGGTCTGTTTGCTCCAGGTCGGCCTAGATACACAGATATTTGGAAACTATCAGGAATTCAAACCGTCCTTCAAACTCAAGAAATCGAATAAGTTTACAAAAATAACACGTGTGATTAAAATACTTATTCTGAAAATGTGTACTTTGCTTTGTAAAAATAGGGTTAAGTTAAAGGGAAATTTTAGAAATTAACGAAATAGTTTCGTTACTTTTCTTCTTTAAACTTTATCTCAGTAAACATAAGGAAGATATCTTAGTAAAGATAAATTATGAACCATAAACCAATCGGGACCAATTTTCTTTTTGCTTAATTTATCTAAAGGAAAAGGAATTGAGTCTTTGCCACAAAATAAAATTTTCTAATCCCTATCTTTGCAATCTGATGGCGTAAACCTATATCTCAAAATTAGATTGTTTGTTCCAAAAGAATTCATGGTTTGATTATCTAAGGTCTACGACATTGGGTTGCAAAGATATAGGGATTAGAAAATCAGAGTGTGTGGACAAAGTGAAAGTGAAAAAAGTTAGTCAAATACAGTACAGTACAGTACAGTACAGTACAGTACAGTACAGTGAAAAAAGTTAGTCAAATATGCAAAAATATTTGGAAAATTTTAAAAATTAAATTTGTATTTAAGCAAAACTTAAAATGTGCGAATTCTCTTTAAAGGTATCTGTCCAAAAATGTTTCCAAAATTTCTTCGTATAGCCTTGTATTTTCGCGGTGCCAGAGTACCATGATCAGAAGTGTTTTCACTCTAACAATGCAGTTGTTGAAGATGAATTTAAGAAAAAAAATTATTGATGTCAAGTTAAAAGAAAAAGAGAATCAATAAACTTGGTTGTTTGGATTAAATACGCTTTTTATTTGTTTAACGTTATCGTTTAATATAAATATAATATTAATATTTAATTGTTTATGTTCAATAATCCACCTGTCTAGTTGGTAGTGAAAATCCGTCTGAGTTTAGATTACTAGATATTGAAGGAAAACTTGAACTAGATGTAGGGGGCAGCACAGACTTTTCTTTAGGAGACACTAAACACATTCACATAGATCCAGACTGTTGAAAAGTGGCATCAATTTTTTTAAGACTGAGTCGACTTTGAAGTGTCGTAACGTTTTGGCTGTACTGAAACGAATCTGCAATAAAATCAAAAAATATACACGCAAATCTAGCTAAATCAAGTATGTCCGGGCTAAATTGGAATAAGGTCAGTCATTTTTCTTACACTTCATTCAAGATCCAATAATCCTAGCCAGTTCAAACGTTCTCTCATAATTTTTGCATATTTTATAAAACCATTAAAAAACAAGAAATTTATCATATTTTTTATTATCATAAAATAAAATAATTATTATATAATTATCATAATGATATAAATAATTATTCTAATAATTCTTCTTGGATTATTTTTTATATACCTGAATCACAGTGAATCTGCATGATTGCTTGAAAACATAAAAAGATGATTTTCCTCATTTTAAATCTTTAGTTTTTCAACAATAAATTGTAAAACTGATTCTGAAATCCACATTAAAACACATATATCTTTAATCTTTTATGGCGCTTCGGGTCCATCTTTACATCCATCTTTACATCGTAAAATAAAACAAAAAAAAGTTCGCGGATTTTAACAAAAAATTTCGTGGATTTTCAAATTTTCAAAAATTCAATTGAAGACAAATATTTGAAATTTTGACTATTCATAAACGTGAGGTCCCATACAAAATTTGGATTGACGTGTGCTAGATTATTTGTATTAAAAAATGGATAAACTAAATAATTTTTGTGCTGCAACCCACATGACCCCAGGAAAGGTTTAGTACTGTTCGAAATTGAAAGATTTGTAAAATCCATCAATGTAAACTGAAAATCCACTTATTTTTACAATTTCCGATCAAAATGGCGGCTTGAAAAGAAAGTTAACTCAATGCTAAATGTGTTTCTGGATGATTAGAAGTGGCTAAGCGTTCAAAAAGCAAATTATACCTTTCACGTGTTTTACTGATTTACCTTTATGATATTTCTTGCATTCAATATCTTCAGAGTAATATATTTTGGCTTGTCTGTCTGTTTATATATTCAATAAACGTCAAAACGATTAATTTGATTTTACCCAAATTGTTGTGATAACATACCCGAGAAGAGGTAGGTTTCTGACCGATCAACAATTTTTTACTACAAACAGCCAAAGACAGAATAAATTTTTTTTTCCGATTTTAAAGAAAAATCCGCGAAAATGTTTGTTTTTATTATTTTATAATTTACGGAAAGCAATAGGACTATTGCCAAAAATAAGAGTGCGAAGTTTTATTTAAGCCTAGTTACTGGTAAAATAACTGGAATGTTCTTTAAAGTATATATTTGTAGTAAAGATATCACTAAGCAGTCGCTTCTCAAATAAGGGTGTCCCAAAAAACATGGGAATTCAGTGACGAATTCGATATCGTCTTTGTTATGAATTAGCATTAAAATACCTAATTGCAAAAGCCATAATATTATTATGTCTGCTAGAGTTTATTTTATGAAAAGGGTAAAAGACTGTAAAGATGTGTCTAAATTGTCTCCGCAAGATGAACAGTGAAGACGGACAAGTTTACTCTGTTTGTATTCTGTAATTTTCTTGTTTCACTAAGTACATCCGTATGCAGTCAAAACATAAACAAACAAAATGTGAACGTAGCTGACGAAACTCTTACAGATTACAGATTTCTCAGTAGGTATCACTATACTAAATCAAAGAATTATTTGAAAAAACGATATCGAATTCGTCACTGAATTCCGATGTTCATTGGGACACCCTGTGTAGTGCGGACCAGTAACTTTAACGTGTGCATAAAGCAACGGCTGTCTAGTAACTGATTATTCTTAAAAGGCGCAAACTTAATACTACACTTGGCTTATACGATCAATAGATAGATAGATAGATAGATAGATAGATAGATAGATAAATAGATAGATAGATAGCTAGATAGATAGATAGATAGATATATGAATAGATAGATAGATAGATAGATAGATAGATAGATAGATAGATAGATTAAAAATATCTGAAACAAACCTTTAAATTCTCTCAGTCTCAGTTAAACTACTAATTCTTGTTTTAAAAAATTCAAACACATTTTAGAACAAAGAAATTGAAGGTCGAAACTTTTGTATTTTCATTAATTAATCCCATTTACTGTGGGCCGTCGGATTAAGGGTAGACCTTTTAAAAATCAGAAGCCTCAAGAAAACCCTTCTTTAGAACAAAAGCACAAGTCTGCTTTTTTTAACAAAGGAATTGAATTTTTGCCACAAACTCAAATCTTCTGATCCCAATATCTTTGCAACCTGATGGTTCAATTCTTTGATATTTCAAACTTAGATTATTGTATCGATAAGTGTTAATAGTTTGAAATATCTAAGGTCTCCGACATTGGGTTACAAAGATATATAGATTAGAAAATTAGAGTTTGTGGCAAAAACTCAACTGCTTTGTAGCTTTATAACAGTAAAGTAGATATCTCATACAAAATTCCGATTCTCGAATACTATATGGAAAGGCTGAGGCAGGTGTAATTTTGAATTGTGACCTGACAAAACAGTTTTTATTTTATTGCTTTTTGACAAAAAATGTTAACATTTTGTTTAATTATAAATACCTCAATGCGGATAATTTATTATTTAATTTAGTGTTTTTGCTATTCTGCAACAGAAATAAAAGATATAAATACCCAGATGTAGACAATTTGTGAATGAAAAAATTCTCTTTAATTAAAATAAAAAAGAAGTTGATGATAGCATTTACATTTTTTTAAATTTAATAATTTTGTTTGTCTATGATGGGTGGATGTGATGCACTACGGTTTAGCTACACATTTTGGTGGTTTTTTAGAATAAATACATAAACCAATACATGCATACATATTTATATTTATAATATAAAATAATATATATATATATATATATATGTAAAACCAATGAACCTTTAAGGGCTTCAAACATGCAACTAGCGAGTAGCCTCTCTGCACACATTTTTTTAAAAATACAGAGTTACCCACAATGAATGAGACTGTTTAGATGTCTTGCAACTTTAAAGATATGACGCACGCACCTCTGACCCTTCAGTAAAAGTAAATTCAACCTAAAGTCTGACCGCGTCAACCTTGTTGCATTGGCTAGTCCTATTGAGTGCCAGCTTCATTTACCCACTGTCCGGGCGATACAGTACAAACTGGGACTGGAAAAGTTGACCCGGATCGGAAATTCAAATGTACTATGGCTGCCCGTTAACCAAGGTTAAATTAAGTCTTCGATCTGGCTCGGATAAAGTCAAGGAATGGCGGACAAAATCATTTTGCAAAAAAAGACACAATTTTCAAGTTGCGGGGAATCATGATTATAAGGAAACAGACAGTATACATTTCTTCAGCCGTCTCTGAAGTCTCATCCTTTGTGGGTAACCCTGTATCTAAATATATACAGGGTGTCTCTTTGTAAATACTTTGGCGCCAACTACATGGACTTATGGAGACATGAAGAAATATCTTTTTCTTTAGTTAAATATACGTTATAAGATATCCTAATATACATTTTTAGATGTTTTATTATACATTTTAGAATATCCTAATACATTTTAAGATATCCTAATATAAACTTTTAGATGTTCTAATATAATGTTTTAGATGTTCTAATACATATTTTTCAAGACAAAATGGTTCCTGGTTTCAACCCTATCTTCATATTTCAATTTTTACAATAATTTAAAGAATTATTGCAGAATGATTTTTTTACTATAATTATTGTTTTCATTAAAAATAAGGTGGCTTGAATCGGCAATCGATCTAAATCTATTTTAATATTTTTAAACATATCATTGAAAATCTCGTTTAACGATGACAAAAAGAAAAAGTTATTTATATTTAATAGAAGTACTTGCATATGTTAATTCTGACTTGTTGTGAATACATTTTGCATTTTCAATTGAGAGTTTACTATTTCGTGCAAATTTTCAATAACTGTTGCTAATAAAATAAATAAATAAAACTTTGCATGTTAAAATATCAAACGATCGTAATTCAAATAAATGAATGAACAACTTAAAAAGATTAATAGATTTAAATCATTATAAATAAATGTTAATGCCTCACAACAGTTTCTTAACCCTGAATTAAAGATTTTTCATAAAATTACAGATTTTCTCCTTATAATCTTTTCTGAAAAATCCGCGAGAAAATATCTTTAATTTTTGTTAATAATCGGGACATTGATACATTTCTTCAAAACTTAGAACTTCTGTGTTGGATAAACATAATTCAGAGCTGGGAACTTTTGAATGGTGGATATTTGGATTAATGCTTGGTCCACTCTTTTTCTTAATCTCGAGATTAGATAATGCTTGTTCTCCTCTTGTTATTAATCTCCAGAGCTAGTAACTTTTGAATGGTAGATATCAGGATTAATGCTTGATCCACTCTTTTTCTTAATCTCGAGATTAGATAATGATTGTTCTCCTCTTGTTATTAATCTCCAGATTAATTAACCAATCGGGATTAAGGATATCCTATTCTAAAGTTTTCAGCTCTGAATTTAGATATCCACAATTATATACACTTTTAATTTAAGGATAAACAAAAAGCTATACCTTTACATAGCTGAATTATAAATGTATAAATGTATAAGTATGTTATTGCATTGCCCCTGTTCTCTCCTGTTCTTTTTTTGTCCCTGTTCTCTTCTGGTTCAACTTATTGTCTCTGTTCTCTCCTGTTCTATTCTTTGTCTCTGTAGTCTTCTGTTCTATTCTTTGCCACTGTTCTCTCCTGTTCTATTCTTTGTCACTGAACGCTCCTGTTCTATTCTTTGTCCCTGTACTCTCCTGTTCTATTCTTTGTCCCTGTACTCTCCTGTTCATCTCTTTGTCCCTGTACTCTCCTATTCTGTTCTTTGTCCCTTTACTCTCCTGTTCTTCTCTTTGTCCCTGTACTCTCCTGTTCTATTCTTTGTCCCTGTACTCTCATGTTTTATTCTTTGTCCCTGTTTTCTACTGTTCTTCTCTTTGTCCTGTACTCTCCTATTCTGTTCTTTGTCCCTGCTCTCTCCTGTTCTATTCTTTGTCCCTGTACTCTCCTGTTCTTCTCTTTGTCCCTGTACTCTCCTATTCTGTTCTTTGTCCCTTTACTCTCCTGTTCTTCTCTTTGTCCCTGTACTCTCCTGTTCTTCTCTTTGTCCCTGTACTCTCCTATTCTGTTCTTTGTCCCTGTACTCTCCTGTTCTTTTCTTTGTCCCTGTACTTTCTTGTTCTTTTCTTTGTCTCTGTTTTTTCCTGTTCTATTCTTTGTCCCTGTACTCTCCTGTTCTTCTCTTTGTCCCTGTACTCTCCTATTCTGTTCTTTGTCCCTGTTCTCTCCTGTTCAATTCTTTGTCCCTGTACTCTCATGTTTTATTCTTTGTCCCTGTTTTCTCCTGTTCTTCTCTTTGTCCCTGTACTCTCCTCTTCTTCTCTTTGTCCCTGTACTCTCCTGTTCTTCTCTTTGTCCTTGTACTCTCCTGTTCTTCTCTAATTGTCTCTTTACTCTCCTGTTTTTCTCTTTGTACCTGTACTCTCCTGTTCTATTCATTGTCCCTGTTCTCTCCTGTTCTATTTATTGTTCCTGTTCTCTCCTGTTCTATTCATTGTTCCTGATCTATTCATTGTACCTGTTCTCCCATATTCTTCATATTGTTCCTGTTCTCTACTGTTCTATTCATTGTTCCTGTTCGCTCCTTTTCTATAGATTATTCCTGTTCTCTGCTTTTCTAGTACTGTCTGTTCTTTTGTTCTTGGTTCTTTTGACCTTTTCTAACGTAACGTTTTTCACATTAATCCCTGTATCCCTTCCCTAAGTTGAATCACCTTAAAACCAAGATTATCAAACAGTAATTAATAGTTGAGGTTTTGTTGTCATACAGACAATATTTCAAACCGTAAACTACAAACTGATCCATGCAATGCTTTAAAATCCATTAGAATTATATTGATAGTTAAACAATGGGCTGAGAAAAGGAAGGATAAGAGAAGAAACGGGGACAACAAATACCTTACTGGAGAGGGGCGGTTGTTCTATGAGAAAACAAATATATTCAATCCTGCCATGGACTCTAAATTGTTAAGTTAAAGGGACTGTAAACGGTTTTTCCTTTGAACGAGTGGCATGCCTTATTAACAACGGTAACCTGGAAAGCTATTTGTTAGTTCAAGAATGAATTAAATGGTAATACTAAAAATTTGCTACCCAATAAAAACTACATACAATGATAACCAGAAAACCCTGGAATTGGAAGACGACTTTATAGCAATATTTAAGTCAATGCTGATGTTAATACGAATCAAACAGTTTTACACTTAAAAATCATTAATTTAGTGTTTCAATTATCACTGAACGTAAGTCCTTTAGTCAAGGAAATTTTTTTATTAAAAAAAGTTTTTTTTTGCTGTTCCCAGTTTTTTTTCTTAAATAATCTTCACACTGCACAGCATAACGAAGATAGTATCTTCCATAGCTAATAAGATAAATGAATTATTAATTATACATGCATTATTTGCATTTATATAAAATATATACTTGAAGTCTAAGTCCCATCCCTGGGAATCTGCTTAATCAACTGTAAAGAAATAAGTCAATATTGCAGAGTACGTTACAGAACGTTAAAGTGCGGTAAAATATGTAACAACTCTAAACTGCATACTAAAAAGTGTACTGTAGTTTCTGGGGAAGATGTAAACAACTTCAGACATTTTTAAAATACATATGGTGCATGAATTTATTAATTTCAGTAATCAACATACAAAACTAAATTCTTATAGTTAGAAAGTAAAAAGTAAATGTTATTCTTTTATACTTTAGATAAACACTAATTGTCATTTATTTTCGACTTCTTAAAGGAATTGTAAGCTTAATTTAAAGCAAACCTTCTTGCAAATATGAATTAGATATCAATGTTTTAATTTAAAAATTGTTTGTTTTCAATTGTGGTTTCTCTACTGCAGGAAAACATATACAAATTAAAGATTTAAATACTTTTAAATCAGGAAGAAATACTTGAAATTAAGCTTACGGTCCCTTTAATGAAAAATACAATATTTGCATAATCAAAGTCTACCGCAATAAGTTGTACTTACATAATACTATAATTTTCAAATAACAGTTGTAAAATAATTGAATTTAAAGTTCTATGGCTTCTAGAACAACGGAAGGTGCGTATTAAGCAAAACTTAAAACAACTAAAAGTCTCTTCTACAATTTACAGAACTGCGCAATTGTTAAAAAAAACTTAAAATACTTGAATAACTTTTTCATGCTTTTATGTGTCGGAGATAATGTTGAAATAATTGCGTCATATGTATATACAGAATGCAAATATTATTGAAAGAGTTGTCAAACGTATATGTAAAGACGCACTATGTTACCAACTATTAATAATAATTTCTATTTAGAAAAATTTAGCGCATTAATTTTCTTTGTTGTGATAGTAAACAATATGATTCGTCAACGCTAGTTTTAAATTTGATGCAATTAAAACTCTCAATCTACAACATCAGATGGTAAAGATATAATGTAGAAAACTACCATTTTTATTTATATTTATTATATGAAAGATATTAAAGAAGTATAAATATTAAGCAAAAGAAAATAATAAGTATTATTTTACAGCTGGGGGAGGAGCTGGATGATGACTCCAGGGTTCAAGAGTTTCGTCATCTTCATCCTCCTTCACTGCATCAACATAGGTCTTGATAACCTTCATCTCGTACGCGGTGTTTAATGCATGTTCGCAAACCGACCGTATTTTCTGCAAAAGTGGATTCTTCTCATAGTTTCCTTCATCAAGTTTGGCCTTCATGATGAGAGCTTGAAGAACATTCATAATTTTGCCATCAAGTAGAGGTTCTGCAACTTCTTTACCCGCCAGAACCATGTTATCAACTATAACAACTCCCCTGTATGTTATCTCATAATCAGTGTTGGCAAGAAGGTTAAGGAAACACTCTTCCCACTGCTTAGATTCAAAAACCTTGGAACAAACTTTGCTTGACTGTGAAGAAAGCATAGCTAATGAGCCAGCAGCTGCCTTTACAACTTCCATGTCATCTCCATCCCCGCACAGCAAAACAAGATATTTTACACGGTCATTGTTTCCTTCACAGCGCTTTACTTGGACTGGAGATTGGCACAGGTTTAGATAACACTGAACAGCTGCTCTTCTCAGCATTTGATGTTCCTCATACATGTATCCTTCAATTGCCATAATAACATCTGTCTCTTTCATCATTCTACCCCTCACTGCTTCATTGACGGTAGCAAGGTTTCCTAAGGCCATTAATGCTTCAAAGTTTTGCATAGCCGACACATCTTCTTTTAGAAGTTTAGAAATAGGCCTAACAACATCACAGCTTCTTTGACCAGGGAATGCAATGGTAGGGTCTTGAGTGATGCCAATTCTAGCAAGTGCTTGTGCTGCTTCTCTTTGACCTTTCTCTGTGCAGTTTAAGGCAATGGGAACCAGTGCCTTGCTTCCTCCTTGTTGAACAACTAACCCTCTAAGTTCGTGGTGCTTACAGAAGGCATTGATCACTCTTGCAATCAGCTCTTTCATGTTTTTAGATTCAGTTTTGGAGAGTGCAACAAGGGCAGATGTAGCTCCATATGTGCAAAGAGTGTAAATACGCTTGTCTACAAAGTCCTGATCATCAAGCTCATGTTCTGTGGGAACATGATGTTTGGCAAACTTGGCCAGCTGGAGCATTTCTTCAGTGATTTCCTGCTTGTCATAACTGTTTGTAAGATTAACTAGCACAGTAATGACTCCATACATTACATCCTGGCTTCCAGTTTTGCCAAGCTCAATTAAAGCCTTGACTGCAGGTTCATCATCAACTAGTTTTTCCTTGACATCTGCATCTAAGGTTAGAAATGCTAATCCTTCAGCTGCCCATTTCCTCAGATCTCTGTCCTTTGATGGATTTACAAGAAACCTTCTGCAAGCCTCAGCCAGTTTCTCACTTGAACCCTCTGCTAGAGGTCGGATACTAGCATCATGGCCTCCACTGGATCCAAGCTTGCACATACCAACAAGAGCTCTTACCTTGATATGATCATTCTTGGATTTGTACAGAGTTTTCAGGATTTCCATTCCTTGGTTAATAATAGCAGTAGCATCCTTCTTCTTAGCAGTGGCAGCAATCAAAGCTTCACTAGCAACTAGCTGTTCTATATACTCCTCAGACTGAGCCATGGCTAATAGCATTTGAAGAAATCCTTCTTTAGTTAGTTGAGAGTTTCCTAGATCTGGAGCATGCTTTAAAAGTGTTGTAATAGCAGTGGATATCCTAACCTTGCTCTCCAGACTTGGATCCATCAGCTTTTGCTTGGAGAATTCATCAATCTTTTCAATAAGTAAGTTTCTTCTCTCGTCATCCCACATTTGTTCATAGAGATGCCCAAAACAAATTCCAACAATGGTGTTAGTAGAGTTAGTGATTTCCATGGCAGATTCATGCTTGTAGTGATCAAGTTCACTTGCAACCTCCATAAGCCTTGTGTAAGCATCAGTCTTCAGCATCTTTTCTGCCCAACCCATCCTGTCCCAAGGACAATTAGTCATTATTAGATTTAACAGAGCGTCCCTACCTTTTCCAGTCATTGTTCTTGATACAGTGTTGTAGGTGACAACATGCATCATAGCATTTAATTCCTTGGCATTTTGTTTCATAATCTCTTGTCTCATTTCTTCATCCTTCCTCATCTGTTTCCGTTCATCATTTTTCATCTTGCTTTGGTCCTTTTTCTTCTCATTCCATTGCTTAACTAAATCAAACCTTGAGATGGAATCTAGCAAACACTGTATTGCATATGATGCAGCATTCACCATTTCTTCATCCTTGGAGTTTAGAGTATCCATAAAGAATGGAACTCCTGCTTCTACCATGATGGCCTTTGCTCTATCAATATCTTTTTTGGCTAGCTCTCCAAAGACTCTTACACAGGACAGCCTAATTTTTCTGTCCTTTTCCACCTTCAGAAGCCTGGCAATTTTGGTAACAACTCCATCCTTATAAAGAAGTTCTGCACCAGCTCGTTCCCTTGCCAGTACAATCAGATTATCAGCAGCCTTCTCTCGTTTTTCGCTGTCTGCTTCTAAATTGAAGACAATATCAAACATGTTCTTGACCTTGTTACTGGTCTTAGCCATCTCTGCCAACTTAGCCTGAACAGCCTTGTGCAACCTGATCAGCACTGGCTCAATTGCTTTGTTCTTAGGATCAAGATTATGAACTAGCTTGGCATCAGCATATGCCAAATCAATCTTGTCCATAGCCTCATAAGCTTGACATCTTCTAAAAAGTGCCTTGGGATCATTTGGGGATAGTTCCAAGGCCAAATCACAATCAAGCTTGGCATACTCATATTCTTCAAGCTTCAGGTAGACAGCTGCTCTGTTCTTATAGAACACTGCCTTCTCAACAATATCATCAATCACAGTTTCTATTGCCTTAGTATAGCATTCCAGAGCATCATCATATTGCTCTTTCTTGAATGCTTCGTTGCCTGCATCCTTGAGCTTGTTTGCAGAATTCAAGGACTCTTGCGGACTCAACACCTCTTCTATTCTTCCCATTCTAGTATCTTGTAATAAGTGTGTAAGATGGAGCTAGAACACAGTTTTCATTGCTCCCGGAGATATCTAGAGATTACTAGAACATTCTCTTCTATTCTAAACTAAGAAGAAAGCCGACAATAATAGCAAGAAAGCAACAGCAATACTGAAAAAGTGAAATCTCAATATTTTTTTTTTTTGGGGGGGGGGATGTGAATACAGCCTCGTATAAATGGAATCATTGACTTTCAAACTTTTTTCAGAAAAGAAATTTAATTCTTCACATAATTTTTTTTTTGTGTTTTCTAGGCTTTTTGTAGAAGAATGGTTTTACGAATAAAAACCGTTTTTGGAAATATTTTTATGATCGCTTATTCTTCTCAATGGATTTACTATTGTATGGTTATATAAACATATATATTTAATACACACATACGAAAACACTCATATATTTATATTTGACTTTTTGTTGCCTGGAGTCGTTTTATCATGCTAATATTTGCGTTTCTTAAGAATAACATTCTTTATTTGTTAATACAAATGTTAATTTTGTAGAGGTTCATATTGGAATATATAAACCATCATGCATTGTTTTGTAGTTGTAGGACATATAATTTACTAGTTTTATTAGTTCTTAATTATCATGATTATTGTTAAAGCATAATAGTGCCTTCAGGCCTGTTCAGGCCAATATTCTGTATCCTCCCATATGTTTAGAATTAAAGCAGGGGGNTATTGCTCGAGCTACTGACGGGATTGAGATTAAGACTCACACTCTCCAGGCCCTTATACTATTTTTAAATTGTTTTGTAAAAAAATGTCTATAGAATTAATAATCTATAAGGTGACAAGCATTGATCTGGATAATACACGAGTTCCCACCATTGATTTAACAACTTTAACTATTCTAATCTTTCTCATTGCGAAACATACTTGTTATTACATACTTCTGCATTTTATTATCGAAAAAAGTGGGAAACTTCAATTGAAAAATTGCATTATTTAACCTTTAATAATGACAAAACTGTACTTTTTGAACCAATTATCTACTGACCATCCCCTCAAGCTATTTGATATATTTAGATAAAACGGGCAGAATAATGATAAATCTATAAATCTATAAATATATATATATATATATATATATATACGTACAGATTTTAAAGATGATTTAACGGTTTGTCCTAAACTGATAAAAAAATATTTGTAAAGGGACTATTCACGTGATTTTAAGTGAATCTCCGATTTACAACGAGCTGATTTTTCGAGAGAAACCCAAAAAAATCTTACTCTTTTTTGCTCAGACAAAGGCTTGATAGGTATCTTAGTGAATACCTGTGATGCAATTTGAAAATACGTATGCACTCTCTATATCAAATTTTTAAATGGGAGGTCACTATAATTTACGCCTCAGTCCCTTTAATCTATATAATAAAACAAGATATTCGTATATATTTGTAAGCGGCTAGAAAACGAGATTCTCAAGATGATATGATAATAAGTCCCCTGAATCTCTTTATTTCCTGAAAAATTACATATAGTTATTACGTGTACAAATCGTAAAAAATAATGTTTATAATGGAAAAATGCTTACGATCTATTTGTGTGTGAGTTGGGGGTTAACAATGGTTTGAACAGTACTAAAAGACGTTTTAAACTTCTGAATTGAAATAACAATTGATTATCAATGAAAGTCACTGACTCTTTATATGAAAATTATTCTTTGTTTAACTAGATTCACAACACGTAAGGCTTTGTTTATAACTCCATCGGAGAGAAGAAAAGGGGGGGGTTGAAATTGTTTGGTTTGGTTTCTCCGAGAGGGAACTTAAGTTAAAGACGACTTTACAACGGAGACTTAATGTTAATGGTTGACAATATTATATATGTTGCGTATAGCCGGCCAAATGGCTGGAGCGATTGGGCCGAAATTTTTTGCACAAACATGGGTGACCGGGGGGTGTTATAGGCAAAAAAAATCGTATTTTTTTTCTTCTTTTTTTCGAAAATTTTCTCTTTTTTCCACGGACAACGCCGGGCCTTTCAGCTAGTCCTATATAAAACCTATGTATAGCCTGGGCTAGTGAAAGGCCTAAGAGTAAAGGTTATATAGGAGATGCATGTTCATACCCCAATTATTCAAAGTGAGCTTATTGGGAAAAAACATTAGACCACTAAGTTTAAAAGTTTGGGTGGTAGGCAGGTTTGAAATGCCAAAAAAAGGGTCGGAAAATGTAAAAAATAAAATTTTGGTTTTTTATTCTTACTCGTTTATTCAAAACAATCGGGGGGGGGGGGCCCAGGGACCCCCCCCCTTCCACTCTATTTCTTTATTGTGATACAAATCTAGAACATTTGAAAGACTTTCAAAACGCCCTTGGGCGCTATTTTAATCTTCTGCAAAAAAAATGCAAAATTGCAAAATTTCAAATAGTTATTGAAATATTAAGTTTTAAGCAAAAATAGAGAAAAAAAACAAAAGTTAAAATTATGATAAGTTTAAAATTTATTAAATGCCCTAAATAGGGCAAATTCAAATATTTGCAAAATTTTCAAAAACAAAATTTGTATTCAAGGAAAACTTAAAATGTGCAAATTCTATTTAAAGACATCTGTGCAAATATCATGTGAAAAATTTGTTCGAAAAAATTGTTGCAATACTTTTGTTCAAGGCTTTCCAAAGAGCTTTAAAATGTTGAAATCCAATGACCAAAGGTAGGTCTAAATATAGATTTAGTCGTGTAATGGAAAATCAGCATTCAGACAATATGCCCCAGGACCCCGGCTTTGAGTCAAAAGTTAACTTTTGTTTTTGTATACAAATACATTTTTATATTACTAGTTTTTTGTTCTTTCGTACAAAGAGAGAAGATCATATGGGGAAAATTAATTCTGAAAAATCTGAATAATTCAAATCCTTATTTTTATCAAGGTTTTCTGTAAACTAGGAGTAGAGGATTAAATGCAACTCTTTCTGAATAATTATGTAATAAAATAATATATAACAACACTTTCATGGTTTCGTCATATCTAAAAATCTTTTTATGTTTACACAGATAGGAATAATATTACTTCAGCCTTTATTAGACGAACATTTTGTGCAGAATTGCAAGTATAGACTTTGCAACCTTATAACACCTCTAGATTTAATACAGAAATACAAACTTGTTAACACTTTTAACACTTCATTTTCTTAGATTGAATCTGTAAATAAGATCCAAATAAAATTATATGTATATGTATATCATGTAAATATATACTTTAATTTTGTGCTTTAACATATGCAATATGTCCGTACATGCCCTTGCAAAAGCAAAGAAAAAAGATACAAACTTTTTGGATCATTGTCATTTACTTGCTTTGGAAATGAGTTTGGAGTGGGTTTGTATACGTATTCTTGTAGATGTGTGTATACTGTATACTGTATAATGGGTTGGAACTAAAGTAGTATAGGTCTAATATAGGAGTAGGTTTGTATACGTATTCTAGTAGATGTGTGTATACTGTTTAATGTATAATGGGTAGGAACTACAATAGTTACTGTATAATGGGTAGGATCTACAGTAGTCTAGGTCTAATATAGGAGTAGGTTTGTATATGTATTCTAGTAGATGTGTGTATACTGTATACTGTATAATGGGTAGGAACTACAGTAGTCTAGGTCTAATATAGGAGTAGGTTTGTATATTTATTCTAGTAGATGTGTGTATACTGTATACTGTATAATGGGTAGGAACTACAGTAGTATATAGGTCTAATAATGTAGGAGTAGGTTTGTATATGTATTCTAGTAGATGTGTGTATACTGAATACTGTATAATGGGTAGGAACTACAGCAGTATAGGTCTAATATAGGAGTAGGTTTGTATATGTATTCTAGTAGATGTGTGTATACTGTATACTGTATATTGGGTAGGAACTACAGTAGTCTAGGTCCAATATAGGAGTAGGTTTGTATATGTATTCTAGTAGATGTGTATATACTGTATACAGTATATTGGGTTAGAACTACAGTAGTCAGGTCCAATATAGGAAGTAAAGTATGGACAAGGAAACCCATTAACTCTGAATATTTAGCTTGGTATCTTGTTTATCCGACATACACACACTACACACGTCATATATATATTTCTGTTTATCTCTTTGTTTGGATGTTTGATTTTAACTCATGGACCCCTTGACCGATTTGCCTCGATTTGACAACTCGGTAGAACAACAGGAATGTTCTTATCCTTGTTAAACAAATTCTAAGTTTATTTTGTACGTATATCTAGTCTTTTTACGTATTTTTTTAAATATCGTAGAGGCTAGTTTGTTTTTAATCTTTGTGAAGAAACAATCTCAAGAACTGACGAGGGTCAACCCAGACCGAAATATATTTTCAATAAATGTGGAACTAACATCTACTTTTTTACTCTACAGAGGTTTGGTCCATCACCATCACTGAATTTTTTATATCATGTTGGCTGGAATAGTAATACATTCAGTTAATTTTATCGCATTTAAGCTGTTGACTAACATGAATTAATTCTTACTTATTCAAAAATATCATAATGAAAGCCAAAAACGGATTCAAAATAATAAATTTTAATTTAAGATGATGTGTGGTGTTCGTTAAAAAAAAAATAATTTTAAATTCGTCAATTTATAACTATATATCTCTATATCTCCCCCCCCCCCCAACTTACTTAGATTGCCGAAATACTGTTATTTAGCCCTAAACATGTATCATGTATGTTGGGAGATGGGATTTCCAGACAGATTGCAACTCTAATTTATAATTCAGATATTAAAAAATATCATAGAAAAGTAAAAGTTTAAATGATAAATTTTATTTAAGAGTTACAATTTTCATTATTCGTGAAGTTTGAAAAATATATTTTAAATACTACATTGTGATTGCACCATCGCTGCTTTAATGGTTTATTGCAGTAAGGGGTTGTAGCATAGGTTAGATTAGTCCAGGGTGTGCAGGGTTAACGGTATCAAGTATAATGCAGACACTACAAATTATATTTTCTTCTCTCTTGGCCAACTCCGCCTGTTTACCAACTAGACCAGGTTTACAACATGTAAAAACGGAAATAACTCCTGGTTTTCCGTTTACTAGGACTGATAATGTTTATCCGGGTCGTATACATAGCACGGAGAGGAGAAGCGACGGAGAAGGGAAGTTAAAAACGGATATAACTCCTGGTTTTCAGTTTACAAGAACTGATATTCCTTCTCCGGGTCTAATACAGAGTACGGAGAGGAGGAGGGACGGAGAAGTAAAGTTAAAAACGGATTTAAATCCTAGTTATCAGTTTACAAGGACTGATATTGTTTCTCCGGGTAGCATCCTGAGTACAGAGAGGAGAAGGGACGGAGCAGTGAAGATATTGAGCGGAGAAGAGGTTCTCCTAATGAAGAAGATACTAGGACGAGAGGAAAAAAAGGACGGTTTACTTACCAGGACGGATGTATTAGAACTGGAGGAGAAGTTAAAGAGAGGATATATTTTGCTCAAAACTCCAGGTTCTCCTGGAATCTCTGAGTTTAGTACTCAAGATCCTAAGAACATTCAGCAGTATCTGAGCCGAGAGGATATCTTGAAATGGGAAGCATTGTTTAAAAGAAAGGATGGAACTAGGGTTAACATTATCAAGGTATACAACACTCTCCCTCCTGCGGGATTGAACCATGATGGCAGAAGAAAAGAGAATGAAAAACCGGTTCTTCATCTCTCCAGAGAAGATGTTGAAAGATTAGAAAATGATTTAAAAAAGAGAAACAGAAGAATGGAAACTAATGAAGGAAGTCGCCCTGAGTTTTTAATCCGGGCAGATTTGGACGAAATAAATAGGTAAATAATCGTTAAACTTCAAACATTTTGAATGAATCCCTTGCTAATCAAATAAAATTTCAAACTTCAGAGACGGCTGTATGGAATGTATACAGTTTTTGCTCTTACATTCCTTGTAATACCCTGCAGGTTGTTAATCGTTTTCAAAAACGATCGTTTCGTTTTCGGAAAAAACGATCGTTTTTAAAAACGACCCACTCGTTATGAACTTTTTGAAAACGAATAACGATCATTGTTGAAAACGATCGTTTTTATAAAAATGATTTGCGACCTTTTTTACACGAATGTCTTTAAAAAAACGATTATTTCTGAAAAAACGTCGTTTTTGATAAACAAATTTACTGACTATTATGTTAACGATCGTTAACAAAGGGTCGCCGTTAACGATCATTTACAAAAATTACTTTAAAACGATCGTTTTTAAAAACGATCGTTTCGTTTTCGATTTTCGTCGTCGTTTTCATAACGAAACGATCGTTTTTCAAAAGAATGAAAACGTTAACATCCAAACCTGCAGGCAGCAGCTTTAAATGAATTTGTCTTTTTTGCCAAATCATTTCACATTTCATTATTAATCCATATAGGATGAGACTGTAAATACGACATTAAATTCAAAATGACGTGTATAGTCTTTGATGAGCTGATCAAATAATTTGTCAAGAAAAAAAATAAGTTTACAGTTGCAGAGAAAAGTAAATATACAGAAATATGAGTACAGTTTCTCAATCTTCAGTTTCAGAGCAAATTCTATTTGAAAAGTTGGATTAAAGCCTCAACCTTTTAGGTTAAACCAGTATGTATCACTATTTACCTCAAGATAATTCAATATCTGGCTTTATATTTGTTAATATTGAACACTTGATACTTAATCATACAACGATAACTAGAAAACTGTGGAATAGAAAGACGATATAATAGCAATATAATAGCAATACAATAGCAAAGTGTCTTTGATGGTAAAAAAGTTGAAAAATTATTCTAGAAACTTATTAAATCACTTATTAAGTTAAATGGGGTTTTATATGCTGCATAATACCTGTGTCTCATGTTTTAAAGAACTATTCAAAGTTGTAATTTTAGTCTAACCTAACTTGTCTTCATTTTCCACAGTTTTCTGGTTCTCATGGTATATTAAAGGAAAGCACAATTTCAACTTAATTATCTTTTCTGAAATTATCTTTATCAATTTTTTCAATCCGCGCTATGACTTAAATTTCTGTTCCGCATTTCGCTTATTTGTAACGTTACCCTTATGCCATTGAAAGGAATTGAGTCTTTGTCATACACTCAAATGTTTAATTTTCTTTATCTTTTTAACCTGATGTGTATACTTTTGATATTTTAAACCAGAATTCAAAGTTTGAAATATCTAAGGTCTACGACATTGGGTTTTAAAGATATTGGGATTAGAAAATCAAACTGTGACAAAGACTCCTTTCCTTAACTTAATTACATTTCATAGATTGTTACTTTCAGTTTTGCTCACGAAAGCGAAGACCATAAATATGTTATGACCAGACTAAGAGAAGATCATTTTGTTCATCGTGATCATGATCACGATCATAATCATGATCGTGATCATGATCAGGGGAACAAAGAAAGGGACAATGAAACCATTTTATCAATTCTTAATCCAGCAGAACAAGAAACGAACAACGCAAGTACTGTAAACAACAGTAATGAACACGCCAAGTTGCCACAATTTAATAGCAACCTTAAAGAGTTCGAAACCGGACATTTCTCCAGTATCCAGGTGTCAGCAGGACGGATGAACTGCTGTTCTTGCTCCCGGAGTAGAGATTCCTGTCCCAAACCCGAAGAAAGGAGTAAACGGGACATACTCACTCTTTACGACTTGAAGTTTATCGGTCTTTGTCCGAAAGAGGTATTTTCTACGGTTTTAAAAGTAAAACATGTTTCTCTACGTCCAATATTATCGGAAAAATCAAGAATTTTGTCTCAATTTTAGATAAAAACTAAATTTTTAACAAATTCAGGGGCAGCATTTTGGCATTATGAATTAAAGTGTACTTATCGTAAATTATTTAACAACGTAAGAGTAAAAGTTGGCATTTAACACTCAAGGTATTGACTAAAAATATTTAGATTCCATTCCCATGCATGTGCTATGAAACCACTGGCCACGATATTACCACTGACGCGGCAAATCACGAACCTGGTTTAGATGTCATCTTTAAACAAGTAGACAACCGCCATCTTGTTTTGCAGGAAGTTAAAATCCAAAAGCCTGAACATAGTAAGATTTGTCACAATTTTGATTTTAAAAACCTGTTACAAATAATTTTTTAACAATTTAAATTAATTTTCGTTAAAAGTTCACATATTTTTTATCTTTAACGTCTAAAGAAAAGAAAACTTTCAGTCTTAACGAATGAATGCCAAAACACTTTTGAATAACACAAATTTAAGACATTTCATCGCAAATTTGCGAAAATTTCTCCAGAACGTTTGTTTCTTAAAATAATTGTTTGACTAGTGACGTGTATTCTATTTAAGTTGAATATTTTGTTCTTGTCAGAGTAATGCACGTGTATATTAGCATAAACAAACTCTGCCTACAATTTCCTCAAATCTATTAGCTCTTTTTCAAAGGTTTTCGAAACACGCTCGGTAGTTATAGTTTTGAGAAAACCATCGAAATTTTGCAAAACCTCATGAATAGTAAAATTCAAATATTTAGACTTTGATCTCCTTCGCTGTATTCGACATGAGGAGCAAGAACCTAAACCAGAGACAGTCTCATTTCCAGATATTCCGGAGATTATATTGACGACGACATACAAACCAATCCTCCAGACAGACAAAGCATCTCTCTCAAGCATCTCCAACAAATTTAAACAAACTGACCAGAAAATTAACCCGATTTCTCCAGAAATTGCAGGAAATCCTGAAATAGTGCCGGAGTCAGAAAAAGTCGAAAAAGGCAAAGACATAGAAGAAGAAGACGAGACAAAATTAACAAATAAAAAGACTGGAGTATTTTCCAAGTTATTGGGCTACAAGATAAAAAGGATTAAAGAAATTTATTCAAATTTCAAAAATTTTTTATTTTTATAATGTTCCAATTTACATGTTAAAGACCAAGTGTACAAACCTTAAAATAACCTGAGTCCGAATTTAATGAATTTAAGCCGCGGCTCAAATTCTTTAAATTCGGCCTCTGGAGTTTTAGTTTTCTTTCAAAACTAATTCTAAAAAAGATATTTTATCATTACAAGGTTTTATAAGTATATATGCAGAGTGTACAAATATCCAAGCGGGATTATTTCGTAAACACAGTTTTTTAGTATCAAGTTAAAACAGTTCACACCAAAAACTGCTAATCCCGGGATTTCCAAAATGTGGTCCACCATTTTTTATCTTCAAAATTGACGGAGATACTAGGAAATTTGTCCAGATTCCATTTCCATTAAGAATCAACAAGACTATTCAATCAAATTATCATGATGGACTTTATTTCATTTATAAATTATTCAAACCGTCTCTCAAAAGTCAATTCCCATGTTCATTGGGACACCCTGTATAAGACAATACAACTACAATATATTAAAATAAAGGTGTTTTCAAAATATGTGAATAAAGATTTCATCATTTTAAGTTCTCGCTTAAATATCAATATCATGATAATTAATAATATGGTTTATAGCATTACGTCAATAGAATTCCTCATATGGATATGGCGTCCGAACCTTCTCTCGAACAAGGTAGGGTTTGAGTGCACCGGAGCTGGTTCTCCGTTTTTCGGGGATTTCTCCAGGGTTTCCAGGACAGATTCAGCTGATGATGCGCGGCTCAACCTGGGCGTCTTTTTCTTCTTGTCTCTGAATATCATTCCAACAATGGCGTCATGAAAGGTTGGGGGCTCCTCAGTAACATATTTCCTGGGTTGAGAACCAGAGGCAGAGGAGGGGGAGGGTGGCAGGACAACTGCAAATAATAGAAATATTTTTTTTATGAAAAAAATCATTGAATTGAAACGTCTTCACGTTGGTTATTATTTCTAAGATCATAGTTTTTCCGAGTAAACGCTAGAACAGTTTCCGAGTAAACACTAGGACAGTTTCCGAGTAAACGCTAGAACAGTTTCCGAGTAAACGCTAGGACAGTTTCCGAGTAAACGCTAGAACAGTTTCCGAGTAAACGCTAGAACAGTTTCGGTGAAGTTTGTTCAAGTGTTTTCACTTTCCTTGCCAAATCTACAATACCAGGGTTACCCACAAAGGATAAGACAGTACAGACGACCCAAAGCTATAAAATATGACAATTTTAGGGTTGATTTTTGGTTTCTGCATTCAATGGAGTGTTTTGATGGTTAATTAAATGATCAAGCACAGAAAATAAGCCAGTTTTCTTAATGCAAGAAAATAAGCCAGTTTTCTTAATGCATCGTCTCTAAAGTCTCATCCATTGTGGGTAACCCAGGATACAAATATAATTCGACTTATGAGAACTATAGTCTGTAGCCACTAGAAGATTCCGTCAAACACTGAATACAATTTTCAAGCGCCATTTCTGTAAATTTTTTCTGCCTTTTTCATTCATTTTTGAGAAGATTTAAAATGTCATGAAAATGTACCATGTTTTTTTTTTAACTTGTTATATTGGCAAAAATGTCTTATTTTACTGTTGTTCTTTTCAATCTCCCGGATCCCTCTCATTAACTTTTTATTATAAAATCGGGACCACAAGCTTTGCCTGGTCTTTTCTCTATAAAATTCAACTTCTAATTTTTAAACCATTCCCGTTATTCTACTGGGTTCCAAAATCAAAATTTTATGCTCATCGGTTGATTTACGGGTTATCAGGGAGTTATGATCTGACATCCAAACAAACAAACAAAAAAATAGAAAAAACTAATTTATACAAAGGTACAATTACAAAGGATGGAACTGGAAAGCTGAATTTCTTCAAAATTGACGATTCCGAGAGTTGGTTGAATTAAGTCTTCTACAAGGTTCGTATAATCTATTTACGGTTTATTCAATGATTTTGAAAAAAGAAACAAGTTTATAATTGCAGGGAATCATTGATATTTGAAACAGACAAAACAAATTCTATATAATAGTCTCTGAAGTCTCATTCTTTGCGGGTGACCTATATTCAAGCCTCTTTTTTTATTTTGAAAATTTTGAAAATCCACTAAATTTTTTTGTGAAATTCGTAAAATTTTTGTTTGTTATTGTTTTTCAATGTATACAAAGAAAAAATGTTTAAAATTGAAAAAGAAGAAAGGCGCGAAGCACCCTAAAAGCCTAGTAATATAAAGATACCTATATTCAAGCTTTCATAGGGCGGAGGCACATCCATAAGCCAAGGACTCACTGGAACTTCGACCTCCTCAGGCTAAAAAAGAAAAATAATCTTAATTTTTTTTACACTGATTGGCGTATATATCAATACTATGAAAGCAACTTTTGCTTGTATAGAAGCTTTTTTCGAAGAAAAAATATCAATTAATCAAAGGTTTTTGCGTATCCATGCTATGTAACAGCTTGCTATAAATCAAAATTGAAATCGAAAGTCGTCTTCATTGTATTGATATCATCCCCTATCACTGTATAAAATAAGATCTGAATGAGAGCTTATTAGAATTAAAATCTGCTAAAAATCGTCACATAGTGTTTTCGCTTAACTAACACAATATTTTGTATGAGGAAACTGAAAAAAAACATAAATTTTAAAATGTCGTCTTCCAAAATCTGAAACATTAAGTCAACCAATAATTATTATGCCTATACAGACAAACAGTATTAATCTAAAAAGGATGTTATTAAATTTCTGCCAGAGATTCTGCTTTTCGAACAAAAAATATTTTTAAGGGTTCTAGTTAGTTGAAGTTGTTTGTTTAAATTCTTCAAATTTCAAGAAAATAAGAATTTAGAAAAAGCGGAAGACGACCTTTTTCCAGTGTATGTACAGAATGAAACGAAAACAGAAAGTTCGCGGTATTAAAGCCTAAATTGTTCTCATTCAGCCAAGAAACAACAAAAATTCTTAGAAATATCCATTTTACCAAACTACTAAGATTATCTTGATATACAAGCCACCTCTAAATTAAGGCTGGAATTTTAATTTCGGCCGGAATGCCTTTCAAACCCCAAAAAGTGGAGGACAAAATGATAACTAAAATATGATTTGCTACAGTCGTATATATTAGGAATTCTTTGAAAAGACGACCGTACCTCTGGAATATCCTGAACAGTAAGTAAGTGAAGAACATAAGTGACCGCCCAGCCCGTGATGGTCAACCAGATGTACAGGATCGAGAACATCAGGACCAGCATCATCAACAACTCAATTATCTAAACAAAGATGTTATTAGTATTATGAAATGAAAACAGATATTTAACACGATTTGAAAGTTAATCAATATTCTGGTATCTTTATTCCTACATTAAACTCATTCGCACGTATAACCCTAATAGTAGTCTAACCCTATACCTGAAGCTTTCTCAGGCTGCCTATCTTAGAGATTATGTAAAAATTTGCAACGAGGTTTTAACTCACAAATATGGCTTCATAAATAACAATGATATATAAATGATCATAATTATTGTTACTGTTATTTCTTGTAAAGTTACGGTATCAAGAAATATTTTCTTTTGTTATAAAGATTTCTTTTTTTATTAAAAAGCATGATGTGAACGCAATGGGGCGTATAAACGTCTGATTGATTGATTGATTGATTGATTGATTGATTGATTGAAAAAGTTTATTTACCTTGGCCGTATCTAAGGTAACGCTGAATGTATAATCGTCCTCCCAAGATCGTCCAACTCTGATAATAAAACTGTTATATAACTATTTAACCCTGTTTAGCCTGAAGTCTGGTTTACTGCCTGAGGTGGGGGNTTATTCAATTATTGGTTTCTGTAATCTTTCATTGTTCACAAATATTTCTGTAGATTTTATTACTGATAGGCTGCAATTTGACTATTTTCATATTGTGATACAAATCTATAACATTTGATCCGTTTTGGAAAGCCCTTGGACTCCTTCAATAATCTGCAAAAAAAAAGGCAAATTCGCAAAAATCCAAATATTTATTGCGAAATTTATTTATTCAGCAAAAAATGTGCATACAAAAAATCGCGCAAATACACTTAAATGTGTATTCAAGAAAAACAGAAAATGTGAAAATTCCCTTGCAAAAATCTGTGCAAAATGTCTATGCAAAAATTATACAATCTGCTTGCGTGTGTCATAGGCTTTCCAAAGAGCTATAAGATTTTAAAATCCAAAAACTGGAAGTAGGTATAATTAAAAATTTAGTCTGGTATAGGTAAAATAAGGCATTTAGGCAATATGAATTAGGACTCAGACAGTAGGTATAAAAGCCCTGAGGGGACTGCTTTAGATAGAAAAACCAGAAAATTTCAGTTTCCTAGATAAAATACTTTAAGTTATCACAAAAAAAATATAACGGTACAACTAAGTATGAATTGTGAACTGTTTATAATTTATAAACTGATTTTCAATTGTGGTTCTCTACAAAAGTGACTTGTGCACTGCATGGCAATGTTCAAACTAAAAAACGATAATATTTTCCACATTGAGATTCAGATAAAGGGTTCGATGGTACTGTTGTGTCGAATTGGACATTGATATCTTTGCATTAAGACTCAGATAAAGGGTTCAAAGGTACTGCCGTGAATTGGACATTGATATCTTTGCATTAAGACTCACTTTAAATTATGCTTACACCTTTAATTTTAAGCAGGTTAGAAAGATCAAAGATAGGTTGTCTAGACCTGTATTTTTTGCGAACACTCTTCCTTTAAAGTTGTATTTAAATTCCCATATTTGTTGGGCCAATAAAAAAAACACGTTAAGCTTTAACATCAAATCGGATCTGAAAATTAATGAAATGTTAAACACAGTTTTGTCATCATTGATTTATACTTACTTTATATTTCTAGAAAATATCGGCCAGACCTCCCGAGCATCTTGCGCTTCAAAGTTTTCATAAATATCATCTTCGTTTTCCAGTTCGTTCTCTTCCTTTTGGTCCATATTGTCCATATTGGGGTTTTCCAAGGATGTGTTTTGTATCTGACTTGTTATTATATTCAAAATCTCACTTTTATTCCAGTCCAATACACCAGCCACTCCGCTCCACTCATATTTAGCTGTGGAGGTCACTGGGGATGATATTGAGGATGGGGTAGTTGAAGTCACTGATGATACTAGTGATAAAGTAGTTGAATTTACTGAAGTTGAGTTTGAAGATTCACTTACAAGAGATTGCGATGAACTTGCCAAAGATTTAAATAACAGGGATGTCGTCTTTTCAATTCCCATTTTTGCAGATTTGTTAATAGTTTTCAGAATAGAACTTACACTATCTTTTTTGAAGTTTAAAGAGTTTAAAAGTGTATTCTCCATCATTAATCCTTTCAATTGAATGGTTCTGAATGAACTAAGACATATCTTAGCAACTATCTTGTGGCATAATATAGCTTTAATTTTTTCTATAGAACTTGTATGGTTTCATGAGAAATCATACTTGTTGTATAATATATATATTTTATATGTATATATTATATATATATATATTATTTCCCCGCAAAAATAAATAAAAGAATAAGAAAAATATTCATGCATTGCAAAATAAGCTTGTTTTGCAAAATATTGCATTAAAGCCTAGGCGACAAACTTTGCAGTTTTCTGAATAATACCGAAAAATGCTAATTTTTGTCTACTCCAGGATTATTTTACCTATATCTTAGATTTGTATCCTGAAGTCTTTTTATAATCTTACATTATGGTAACAGTATTTCCAGAGGCGCAACTAAGGGGAGGGCCGGCCCCCCCCCCCCTGCATAATGAAAAGAAGATTGGCGAATATCAGTATTACAGGAGTCAGGAATAATAAAACCATAAGAGTTATTGTAGAAATTGTATTCTACTATGGTTAGTTTAAAAAAAAATATTTTTATCTTTCTGAATTCTCAAGGCTAAGGCTATGTGTAAAAATTGTAAAAAAGTTCCGAACTGTATTGTATTAGTGTTGCGTGTTGTTAGTCTATAGAGATACAAACTGTAAAGCTTTGTAATTTCTAGAATATTCCATTGTGCTTTTTTTCACAGTGCTGAATGATAAGTAACATTTTGGTTTGGGTTTTTAAGTTCTTAAATTTTTAAGATTTTAAGATTTTAATTTTAAGTTTTTAAGTTTTTAAGACTCCAGTAAAATTTTAAAATCTCTTAAAAGTAACAAAACTCAAACTTTGATCTTTAAATTTATTATTCTAACCTGATGTAGTATAACCATTTTATAAACTATGAGTTCTGTTGCAGTGAGATCAGTAAAACTGTGAAGTAGGAAAACTTCAAATGATAATTTTGAATAGTCCAATAATGATAAACACAGCAGTTGTTCAGTGTACCCAGTCCCAGACCCAGTTTGAAAATTAAGAAAAAATTTAAGACTGACTCGTAAAGCTGTATACTTTAAAGGGAGTGACCGGCAATGTATGGTAATTGAACTGAAAATGTGGTATTGTGGAATTTTTTTTAGGAATCATTTGAGACATATAAAACGTTTCATTAAAACTTTGTATTTGTCTCGAATGATTCCTAAATATTTTTTCCATAGTAGAACATCTTTAGTTTAACCACCATACATTGCCGGTCACTCCCTTTAAACAACATCAATACAAATAGGATTGCTTTCATGTCACCTTTCTTTGCCAGTGTGTTATATAATTCTCATGTAAATCACTAAGTCTAAATTTTAAATATCTACAGTTACATCATCAGATTATAAAGATATCAAGATTTGAAATTAAAGTTTATGAAAAATGTTCAGAATCTTTTATTTCAATCCGTAAAGAAATTAACGAAGCTTATACTTTCAGGAACACACTGTAAATCTTGACAAATTGACGAAATTTGTCGAAAAAAAGCGAAACAAATCAGAAAATAACCTGCGTGAATAGGATTCGGTGCGCTCCAGTCTTTTGGCGCGCTCTGATATAGAATAATTTGCGGCATTATGATGTTCCATTCTCCTCGGCTGTATCTCGTATCTCCAGTGGGGGCTGCATGCCCCTGATATAAGAAAGCCGTGAATAATCTTCAATCATCAGTCCTATACCAAGCAGGGCCACGAGATGAACCTTAAATAATGACCTTTCTCTCTAACAGACGAGCTAACGTGCATGCCTAGGCACACATTTGATATAAAATTCTATTATCAAAATATCGTTTGCGGTGGAAGCATTCAGTTTTAGTTTCAGCTAGAATTACTGAAAGAAGGATCTGTATATGTGTCAACTAGAACTATAGATATAAGGATCTGTATATGTGTCAACTATAACTTTAGATATAAGGATCTGTATATGTGTCAACTAGAACTATAGATATAAGAATCTGTGTAAGTGTCAGCTAGAACTAGACATAAGGATCTGTATAACTGTCAGCTAAAACTAGATAGAAGGATCTGCATAAGTGTCAGCTAGAACTATAGATATAAGGATCTGTATAACTGTCAGCTAGAACTATAAATATAAGGATCTTTAGAAGTGTCAGCTAGAACTAGATAGAAGGATCTGTATAAGTGCCAGCTAGAACTAGATAGAAGGATCTGTATAAGTGCCTTCTAGAACTAAAGATAGAAGGATCTGTATAAGTGTCAGCTAGAACAAGATAGAAGGATCTTTTTAAGTGTAAACTAGAACCAGATAGAATGATCTATAGAAGTGTCATTTAGAACTAGATAGAAGGATCTGCATAAGTGTCAGCTAGAACAAGATAGACGGATCTGTGTAAGTTTCAGCTAGAACTAAATAGAGGGATTTGTATAGGTGTCAGCTAGAACTAGATAGAAGGATCTGTATAGGTGTCAGCTAGAACTAGATAGAAGGATCTGTATAGGTGTCAGCTAGAACTAGATAGAAGGATCTGTATAACTGTCAGCTAGCTATAAGAAATATAGATATAATGATCTGTATAACTGTCAGCTAGAACTAGATAGAAGGATCTGTATAAGTTTCAGCTAGAACTATAGATATAAGGATCTGTATATGTGTCAGCTAGAAATATAGATATAAGGATCTGTATTTGTGTCAGCTAGAACTATGAATATAAGAATCTGTATAAGTGTCAGCTAGAACTAGATAGAAGGATCGGTATAAGTTTTAGCTAGAACTATAGATATAAGAATCTGTATAAGTGTCATCTAGAACTATAGATATAAGGATCTTTAGAAGTGTCAGCTAGAACTATAGATATAAGGATCTGTATAACTGTCAGCTAGAACTATCGATATAAGAATCTGTATAAGTGTCAGCTAGAACTATAGATATAAGGATCTTTAGAAGTGTTAGCTAGAACTAGATAGAAGGAATAGAAGGATCTGTATAAGTGTCAGCTAGAACTAAATAGAAGGATCTGTATAGGTGTCAGCTAGAACTAGATAGAAGGATCTGTATAGGTGTCAGGTAGAACTAGATAGAAGGATCTGTATAGGTGTCAGCTAGAACTATAGATATAAGGATCTGTTTAAGTGTGTCAGCTAAATGTATGAACTCAATCACACTAAAAGGTTTCTTCAACCTATTCTTGACATTCACTTAATAATGGACACTTTACCACTGATGGATATGGAGAGAGTTAGAGATAGAAGTATCTAGACATATTAGGGGAAATATCTTCAGATACTCAGAAACTTATATTTTTCATTAGTTCTGCACTGACAAATAAATATCATTCTTTAGGAGGTGTAACTTGTCATTCGCAGAGAAGATAAACATAAAGAGAGATTTAAGCCGGCTTTTTGTCAAAATAGGTTTCAAAACAATCGATTAAACGTTTCTGTTACGAGAACTAGTTTTTAAACTTTTTTTTTAAAGATAAACAAACAAAGGATAAAATTTTTTGCAACATACTCTGATTTTCTAATCTCGATATCGTTTCACCTTCAATATTTCAAACCATAAATTCTATTGGATCCAATAGTCTAAGTTTGAAATATCAAAGATTTATACTATCAGATTGCAAAACTTTAGGGATCAGAAAATTTGAGTTTGTGTCAAAGACTCAATTCATTATAGTTTTAGTTTAGTAAACAATTCAAATGTCATATTATTTTTTTAATTGTTTTCTACTTCGCAATCTGCATTCATTTTATATCTATACTACTCTATTCTAGAAACATTTTCCATTTTCCGGCGCATTCTTGCCAATGCATACCAAGTCTTCTTTGTCCCTTGCCCCCCCCCTGATCTGTATAACTGTCAGCTAGAACTAGATAGAAGGATCTGTATAGGTGTCAGCTAGNTGGTTTCTCTCAACCCCTCTTCACTATTATAGAACCCCCTCGAATAAAAGCTTCTACCCTATACTTCAGGTCTCATTTATGCAGATTTTACAAGCAGTAAATTCAATTCATGTTTTTCCGGAGGAACTCAGATTTGCAAGTTTTTCCAAGGAGTTAAATCTTGTCTTTAAAGGGTGGATAGAAGATATACTTGGATAATACTTATCTTTACACCATCTTTCCTAGTTTATGATCAGTTTAAAGGGACTGTTCACCATCTTTCCTAGTTTATGATCAATTTAAAGTGACTGCTCACAATCTTTCCTAGTTTATGATCAGTCTAAAGGGAATGTTCACCATCTTTCCTATAGTTTATGATCAATTTAAAGGGACTGTTCACAATCTTTCCTAACTTATGATCAGTTTAAAGGGACTGCTCACCATCTTTCCTAGTTTATGATCAGTTTAAAGGGACTGTTCACAATTTTTCCTAGTTTATGATCAATTTAATGGGACTGCTCTCAATCTTTCCTAGTTTATGATCAGTTTAAAGGGACTGTTCACAATCTTTCCTAGTTTATGATCAGTTTAAAGGGACTGCTCACCATCTTTCCTAGTTTATGATCAGTTTAAAGGGACTGCTCACAATCTTTCCTAGTTCAGGATCATTTTAAAGGGACTGCTCGCAATTTTTCGAGATTTATCATTAATTTTTTAAGGGAGGGTTCACAATTTTTCTAGATCTATTTAAATTTATTTCCAGGGACTCCTCAGACGTATAAAGAAATTGCTCAGTGCATACAACTAAAGGTAAAGTTATCGTACACGCAAAGGGTTTCAAAATTATTTGCAAATAGTCGCCTTAAAGGGGCTTACCGTAACTATTTCTTTTGCAGTTAAAAAAAAACATTGGCATGCCATCATTTTCAGGTACTGTTATAATCAATTAAATATTTCAATAGCTTTTTACCAATGGTACTTTTATCACCTTAACTATCGTCTATGAAGGGATGTTGGGATGATTTACTATAAACATCAATAATCAATTAACAATCAATCAATAATCAATTAATAATCAATCAATTAGCAATCAATTAGCAATTGCAGTAAAGAACTTAAGAATTAAGATTTAATTTTTCCTTTATAAAAAAAGATTTTACAGATGAAGCCTTTTTAAGGTAATTGTATTCTATGATCTGACCGAGAGAAAGCAGATGGTTAGTGTAAAGGCTAAGACAGTTTGCTGGAGCTGGATAGGGGTTAAATATTTTAGATATTTCATCACAAAAACTTAGCTTCTTATCATTATTACAAATATCTACAGTTACCCACGATTCACAAAGGATGAGACTTTAGACACAACTTTACGAATTCTATTCTGTCGTTTTTTCTTCGTTCATAGTTTCATGTATCTTTATACTTTTTACATTATTTGTAAACAATATTTGCTTCAAATATAAACAGAATTAAGGATTAGTAGGTCGTCTTTATAATCTTATCCCATGTACAACATATAGATTATACTTTCAACACAATTCAATAATTTCGTCAATGTTTTGATAATTTACTGTAAACAAACAATAACTAATTAACAATCCATTGCAGAACTACAAATAAGTATTTGAATCAACGAAAGGTAGTTCAGTGATCTGGCTCAAATTCATTGAATTCGGTCCCTGGTATTTTTTAAACTCAATGTCACAAACTAATAGGTACCAGTACAAACTTCGGACGCTACAAAGGTCGGACAGTACAAACGTCGGACTGGTACGAACGTCGGACTGGTACAAACGTCGAACTGGTACTAAAGTCAGACTGGTATAATCGTCAGACTGGTATAATCGTCGGACTGGTACAATCGTCGGACTGAGACAAACTTCGGACTGGTACAAACGTCGGACTGGTACAAACGTCGGACTGAGACAAACGTCGGACCACCCAAACGTTGGACGGGTACATTTATAAGGAAAAACGTCGGACTTTGGTTGAGTACCATTGCTATAAGAAATAAACTAATAATCACTTACTTATTGTGTTGAAAATCAAAGACAACTGAATAAACTCTCACCCTTTGAAGGTAGCACTGTATAAAAACAGACCAAAAAGGAGTTGAGTTCAATTGTCACAATCTCTGATGTTTCAATGTCTTTGCACCCCTATGTCGTATAACCTTTAATATTTCAACCTATGAAATCTGTCAGATCAAACAGTTTAAGTTTTTAAAATATCAAAGGTCAATACCATTACCAGGCTGCAAAGATATAGGGATGAGAACATTTGAGTTAATGGCAAGAACTCAGTAATTTTTGGTAGAACTTAGTTCCTTTGGGTAGATTTTTATTAGACCAGTCGAAAAAAGGAAATTACTTCTTAATAAAAAAAATCTTAAAATTCAAATAATTTTTTCGTCCTTAATCCGATGTTTGTACTCGTCTGACGTTTGCACTGGTCCGACGTTTGTACTGTCCGCGTTTGTCCCAGTGCGACGTTTGTACTAGTCCGACGTTTGTCCTGTTCCGACGTTTGTACTGTCCGACGTTTGTAAGTCTTAGGTTTGTACCGTCCGTCGATTGTGGGTCCGACGTTTGTCCTGGTACCAACTAATAGTTTATAAATGACATTGTTTACATTCTATAAAACCAGCATTAGCTTTGAAATATTATATTTATCTTAAGATATATGATATAATGATGTTTATTTGCATGTCAAGGAACAATAAACAATTAATTTTACTACCAAGGTTACGATAAGTTTTGTCCTTGCTGGAAAATAAACATTTCAAACTATCCCAGTTAAGACATAAAAAATGCTTTATGGTAAAATCAAATTACAAATTCCACCAAAGTTTGTTTGATCTTCTGCCGTCTTTTCAAAAAGTAAAAATAAATTAATGCATCGATAAAAAAGCTAAACCTGAAAATTTTTGTCGTCGTTGAATCTTTTTTCAGTTTTCCCCGAGCTATCCTACCAAGCAGGTACAGTTTATTAGATTGACATATTGAAAAGAATATTTGAAAAGGGATCAAGTTTCAACTTTTATTTATTAGGTTTCTGTGTGTATAAATCTTGTGTTAGGTTCAGTGGTACAGGACGGAACCTGGAGAGAGGAGATGAAATTATGCGTTCTCCTTACCCTAGCTCTAGCTATACCCTTAGCCAGGTATACTTACCCTAGCTCTAGCTATACCCTTAGCCAGATATACTTACCCTAGCTCTAGCTATAATACTTACCCTAGCTCTAGCTATACCCTTAGCCAGGTATACTTACCCTAGCTCTAGCTATACCCTTAGCCAGGTATACTAACCCTAGCTCTAGCTATACCCTTAGCCAGGTATACTTTCCCTAGCTCTATACCCTTTGCCAGGTATACTTAACCTAGCTCTATGCCCTTAGCCAGGTATACTTATCCTAGCTTGTGCTATACCCTTAGCCAGGTATACTTACCCTAACTCTATACCCTTAGCCAGGTATACTTACTCTAGCTCTAGCTATAACCTTAGCCAGGTATACCTACCCTAGCTCTATACCCTTAGCCAGGTATACTTACCCTAGCTCTATACACTCAACCAGGTATACTTACTCTAGCTCTAGCTATAACCTTAGCCAGGTATACTTACCCTTGCTCTTGCTATACCCTTAGCCAGGTATACTTACCCTAGCTCTATACCCTTAGCTAGATATTCTTACCCTAGCTCTATACACTCAACCAGGTATACTTACCCTAGCTCTATACACTCAACCAGGTATTCTTACCCTAGCTCTAGCTATACCTTTAGCTAGATATACTTACCCTAGCTCTATACACTCAACCAGGTATACTTACTCTAGCTCTAGCTATACCCTTAGCCAGGTATAGAAGGCCCTCTAAAATTATCTGACAACATTGTTGGCCTTTTTAACTACCTAATTGCTTAAACCTATCATAAAAATGGATTAATAACAAATTCAGACATAAAAATGGATTAATAACAAATTCAGACATAAAAATCATTTCAAAAGTAAAATGATTCTGAAGTAAAGGGGTGATTTTTAAAAACATTTTTTGTAGTAATTTCAGATTCACAAATAAATACTTTAGTATTTTGCCAAGGTAAATTGTACCAACTGTTTTTTAAGAGAAAATAAAAAAGACACATTTTTTGTGGTTTGGGCAAGGTTTGTACGAAGCTACCCATAGCTTTCTTTTCGTTTTTGTTTAATGCTAATTTAATTTTCAGATTGCTCTAGCTTTAAAAGTAATGATTTCAGACCTAAAGTTTTATTAAAAAAAGAAACCTTTGATTAACAGCTTATGATTAAAAAACAATATTTTCGAAGATCTTTGAAATTTTGCATACTTTATGAAAGAATGAAAATGAAACGTGAAAAATCGAATATTTAAAAATCCGCGAAATCGATTTTCAACTTACACTCAAAGAAGTGGTTGTTACCAAAAAAAGGCCTAAAAGGTAAACATTTACATAATACAAACGTAAATATAAAGCTTTCTAATGACACCTTGATTGTAAAAGTTAATCGAAAATTGTTCCTTCAGTACAGCTAATACCCAAGTTTTTTGGGGACACCCTGTATTTTATCTTGTGTTATTGTCTCAATTCCAGAATTTACACCATAATTCGTTCTTTGTAGTATATCAAGCGAAATGGGAAAGTATTAATTAGGATTTAAGAATAAATAGGATTTAAATCGTAAAAACGTTATATATCCGCAAGGTATTATCTTAAGGGAGTCCACTGTAAATTGAGACTTTAGAAAAACGCTATATATCACTTAATTTTACAGTTACGGTCTTGAATTTGAAAACACACATTAATAAACATATTAAGATTAGATTTCACTTTCTTGAGATTCCTGAAAAACATCGTTGTCTGTTGCTTTTAGTAGCTTTGTGTCTCACACTTTAAACAGTCTCTGGCAGAAAATTTCCCTTTTGGAAATGACAAGCAATACCAAAAGCTCCTCTGGGTGATTGGATTTGGACTTTTGACAAAGGAATTGAGTTTTTGCCACAAACTCAAATATTCGTATCCCTATATCTTTGCAACCCAATGTCGTAGACCTTAGATATTTCAAACTATTAATTCTGTTAGATCAAATAATCTAAGTTTGAAATATCAAAGGCTGCAGAGATATAGAAATTAGAAAATTTGAGGTTGTGGCAAAAACTCAATTTCTTTCATGTGAATCACAAGTTCCAAAGGAAGTCTCTGGGCATGTATAGAAACTTTTTGACATTAATGCCCTCAAGCTTCAGGGGAAAATTGGAATCATTATTCTTGAACAATTGCAAATAATCCAAAATTGGGAAAAAAGTTTGTTAGTAAAGTCATTGTTCCAGATTTAACCCTGTCAGCTTTACCCACGGTAAGCTTGGGACATGATTTTTGCTTCCTGACTTTGACATCATCCTTTTGAAGGCCTTTATGAACATATGACTTTTTCCTTTTTTCTCTAAACCTTCTTCATACCTCACACGTGTTTGTTGGATGGTTGTTTTTGAACCCATAGTGAGGAAGTGTCCAAATGTGAATCTCTTACCACCATGATAGTTTTTGATGTAGAACCTGTCAAAAAGCATATTCATCCACTCCTCTTTTATGCCCTACAAATTCTTTGTGGTGAAATATTCTTCAAAAAAAACAATTTGCTCTCAGGACATGTCACACAGGTGACTGATCTTAACAGGTTTTTCATTTCCATATTAATGGATTTGCTCTTTTATAAGCTGTTTAAAAAGTTTCATTTTATAGTGGACAAGTTTTATCTAAAAAAGAAAATATGTAGACAATTAATTTTGATTTTGAAAACCTGGATAAAATTTTAACCTTACATTTAAAGGGGGCCATGCATGCCTAATTCACAACGGTATCCAAACTCTCACAAGTTCCTCTACTGTTTCGTTAAAAGAAATACGGAAATAACAATTGAAAATAAACAATTTTTTGAAGAAAACTTTTTTTAATAAACAAGTCAATCTAAATCCGGCAAAGCTTGAATTGTAAAGGCACCGTTTGATTTTAACATGCCAATCTTTAAATGGCGGAGTAAAAAACTAAATCTACGACGGAAATAGATTCAGAAATTATGATTGTTAAAACCTAGAAATACATGCATAATGGTAAACACTGTGAATTAAGATTGGCGACACAATTTAAAAAAGAAGATAAATTAAATTAAATGAAATGCATTAAATTAAATTAAAACTTTGATTATCTTATGTGTTTATAGTGGAACAGGGCATAGCGAGGAGGAAGCTCAACAGAGATCAGCTGATGTTTCTGCCGGTAGACCGGTAGGTCGTCTTTATTTCATATCCGTTGATGTAGCTGCCGGTAAACCAGTAGGTCGTCTTTATTTGATATCAGTTGATGTACAGAGCGTCCCATATCATATTAGATTATGTCCAATCTTTAACACCTAAATACGCACATTATACTCAAAAAATCTAGCATTTTCTGCAATAAAAATTTCTATTAGCTTTATTAAATTTTTCAAAATGATTCATTATTTTTAAATTTTCTGATTTGTCCCCCAAATCGTAATTTAGACCCATTGACGCGGTCTAATTTGATGTGGGAAACCCTGTAGCTGCTGGTAAACCGGTAGGTCATCTTTATTTAATATCAGCTGATGTAGCTGCTGTTGAACCAGTAGGTAGTCTTTATTTAATATCAGCTGATGTAGCTGCCGGTAAACCAGTAGGTCGTCTTTTTTAATATCAGCTGATGTAGCTGCTGGTAAACCAGTAGGTCATCTTCATTTAATATCAGCTGATGTAGCTGCTGGTGAACCAGTAGGTCGTCTTTATTTAATATCAGCTGATGTACCTGCTGGTAAACTGGTAGGTCATCTTTATTTAATATCAGCTGATGTAGCTTCTGGTAAACCGGTAGGTCATCTTTATCTAATATCCCCTGATGTAGCTGATGGTAAACCAGTAGGTCGTCTTTATTTAATAACCGCTGATGTAGCTGCTGGTGAACCGGTAGGTCATCTTTATTTAATATCCGCTGATGTAGCTGCTGGTAAACCGGTAGGTCATCTTTATTTAATATCAGCTGATGTAGCTGCTGGTAAACCAGTAGGTCGTCTTTATTTAATATCAGCTGGTGTAGCTGCTGGTAAACCAGTAGGTCATCTTTATTTAATATCAGCTGATGTAGTGCTGGTAAACCGGTAGGTCATCTTTATTTAATATCAGCTGATGTAGCTGCTGGTGAACCAGTAGGTCGCCTTTATTTGATATAAACTGATGTAGCTGCTGGTAAACCGGTAGGTCATCTTTATTTAATATCAGCTGATGTAGCTGCTGGTAAACCGGTTGGTCGTCTTTATTTAATATCAGCTGATTTAGCTGCTGGTGAACCAGTAGATCATCTTTGTTTAATATCAGCTGATGCAGCTGCTGGTAAACGGGTAGGTCGTCTTTATTTAATACCAGCTGATGTAGCTGCTGGTAAACCAGTAGGTCATCTTTGTTTAATATCAGCTGACGTAGCTGCTGGTAAACCAGAAGGTCGTCTTTATTTAATACCAGCTGATGTAGCTGCTGGTGAACCAGTAGGAAATCTTTGTTTAATATCAGCTGATGTAGCTGCTGGTAAACCAGTAGGTCGTCTTTATTTAATATCAGCTGATGTAGCTGCTGGTAAACCAGTAGGTCGTCTTTATTTAATATCAGCTGATGTAGCTGCTGGTAAACCGGTAGGTTGTATTTATTCAATTCAAATCAAGGCTATCATAAAGTTGAAGGGATTGTTGACAAATAATAAAATAGTTTTTGGCTAAACCAGAATTGAATTCTTTATTGTTCAATCTTATTTTTAACTCATGTGCTTGTAATGAAAAATGTTTTTAACGTTTCTTCACTTGAATTGACAAAATAATATAAAGTTTAATTTATGATTTTAGTTTTTAAAAATAATATTGTTTTGTAATATCGAGTTTAAACCTTTAATCTCTTTAAAAATGTTGAACTTATTTCTATTTTATGATGCACAGGGTTCCCAACAAAGGATGAGACTTCAGAGACGATTGTACAGAAATTATTCTTATATCTATGATCCCCTTGCCACTGTAAACATGCTTCTTTTCTAACCTGTTAAAAGATTATATTCCAGGCAGAGGACTAAATTTAATCTCGGAATCGTCAAATTTAAAGATTGTCAGCAGGTCGTCTTCACAGTCTCATTTGTGGTTAACCCTAAAGTAAACCCTACAAAGTTGAATCCCATACTCTTTTTTAACTCTATCCCTGCGCGCTGGGGTACTTGTAAAACCAGCAAAAAATATTTACAAATTTTCAAAAGTTGTATTTTTTTGCATATTTGAAAGGGAAAAAATGCCAAAAAAATGATAAAATATACTTTTTTGAAAAGGCCTTGACCATGCCATTTTAAATATGCAAAATTATATGCAAAATTTTAAATAACCTAATGTGTAATTAAGAAAAGCTAAAAATGTGCAAATTTCTTTGACGGGTTGTATGCAAATAATTTGCTAAGCTTTCTTTGCAAAACTGTGCAATCCGTTTCCTTTTTTCATAGGCTTTTCTAAAAACTAAAAATTATCAAAATCTGACAACTCAAAGTGGTTGAAAACAAAGATTTAGTTTGTTACAGGAAAAAGTAGTCATTCAGGCAGTGTGTTTGAGGACTCAGGCAGTTTTTCCACTGATATATTTTTTTCATATTAAAATGGCTATGTACTCTTTAAACAAGAATTTCTTGAACTCCAAGTTGTATAGAATTGAAAGGTCCTATTGACAGTTGGAATTTGAGTTTTGCCATAAACACATGTCAAGATTGGGTGGTTCATCCTGTAGATCCGATATATATCACGGGGCATAAAGGTTATCAGGGCTTACACCTTGACAAGACCCTCCTTACCTTAATTCCGGGGGGTCACTCATTCAATTACAATCAAATACATATTCTCAACCTTTATATACAGGAATTTCATTCAAAGAATAAAACTGTAAAGACGACATGAAACTAAATAGATTATCAAGTACAATTGTCAAGTATAGCAAGGAAAACGAAATTTTCTCCCATTAGCTGACATGCTTTCCGAGATTAAATAAAAAAGTGTGACAACAGAAACTGAAGAACACATAAAATTGCACTTGTTTTACTGTAAGATAAGCACTTTATTCTAAAATTATCACTGTTATTGACAATTTAGTCGGACACAAAAACTCAGTTGACACTTGTGACGTCAGAATACCGCTGTACTGGGAGTGTACACATTCTACGTTGCCATCTATTGCATACTAGAATCTATTTGCATGAAACTTTATAAATATGAAAATTGCAAGGCTAAATAAAGTTTCTTTTGCCTTTAATAAAGTTTTGGTGGACTTTTTAACGATTAAACAAAAAAAAAACAAGTTTACAGTTGCACGGAATCATGCATATTAAGAAACAGGGAGTAAGATAGCACTTAATTATGTAGATCTCCTTTAATTTTTTCCTTCAGAATTCTAAAGATTCTCAATCGTTTAATCCGTCCTAGATAATTAGTAAATTGATATTCTTATCATGTTATTTTCAGACACAGAAACCTCATGTTGACCCCCCAGCTCCTCCCAGGTACAACACATTTAATATCCGCTGATGTAGCTGCTGGTAAACCGGTAGGTCATCTTTATTTAATATCAGCTGATGTAGCTGCCGGTAAACCAGTAGGTCGTCTTTTTTAATATCAGCTGATGTAGCTGCTGGTTAGCTCTATACACTCAACCAGGTATACTTACTCTAGCTCTAGCTATACCCTTAGCCAGGTATAGAAGGCCCTCTAAAATTATCTGACAACATTGTAAAACAAAAATACTAAAAAGAAGATAAAATAACATTATAACACGCACCTCTGTCTCTTAAGTAAAATTAAATTCAACCTAAAGTCTGACCGCGTCAACCTTGTTGCACCGGCTAGTCCTATTCAGTGTCTGCTTTATTTACCCAATGTCTGGACAATACAGTACAAACTGGGACCGGAAAGGTTGACCCAGCTTGGAAATTCATATCTACTACGGTTGCCCGTGATAAGTTCATTATTTTTTTTCTCAGTGCTCCTGAACCTAAACCCGCAGAAAGGTCTGACCCCCCTCCCCCCTCAGACATGAAACATGCCCCTCCTCCTCCATCAGACATGAAACATGCCCCTCCTCCTCCTCATGACATGAAACCTGCTCCTCCTCATGAAGAGAGGTAAGATTATCTTCAGAACTTTTTTTCATGATTTTCAAATTACTTTAATATTCATCAAAAATTAATATATATCATTGTAATTTTAAGAGTGTTAAAAGATTGACATGTCTTATTCATTATGGTACCCTTAAACTTTCTTCCTGAGTAACAATAATGCAAATATTTAGTTTTTTATTTCAATCAATTGTTCCGTCTGCAAGTGATTTTCTAGAAAAACCCAAATAGCCAAAATGCTGAAGTGAACAAAATACACGCACTGTACGTGACGTACATAGAAAACCAAAATATTGTAAACATAAAAATTTATTAATGTCAGGATTTATTCTATGTAGATATTTTATAAATAGGGAGGAAAACACATTTTTGTAATTTTAATACATTGTGGAAAGATCAAAGAATATCCAGATTATCGATAAATATAACATTTTTGAAATATCTAATTTTAAATTATTTTCTCATAGATCGGAAATGCATGAACCCCACTCTTCAGGGGTAAGAACTTATATTTTTAAATACTTTTAAATGCAATAAAAAATATTTTGAGCATTTTCACCTATTTTCATGATTCAATGTTATAATTAAGGTTCAGAATTCAGTATTAAGAAATAAAATTTGGGTTAATTTGATAAAGTGACTTTTTAATCGATTTATATAGTATTTCAGTTTTTTAAAAATATCTTTACTTGATTTAATCTAATTTAAATTTCAATATCTTTGATTTAAATGTCTTCTAATCTAAATTATAAATCAAGACATTCATATATATATGATGCCAATAGCCGGCCAAACGGCTGGACAGATTGGGCCGAAATTTTATTGACACTCAGGGGTGGCCGCCGGCCGGGCACTTCAGCTAGTTTGTGAATAAATATGGATACACATCGCCAAAGTATTTTTAAGTTTATATTGAGATGCTGCATGTTTTCAAGCATAAACACATATTTTTTAAAAAGTTTTGAAATATCCCCTCACATATTTTTTGCTATTCTAGGAGTCTATGCCTGAAGGTGAGGGTGGGTATGGATATGAAAAGAAGGAGGAGTACCCACCTCCTGGGTACAAAGAGGAGTACAAGAAGCCCGAGTACAAGAAGGAGTACAAGAAACCTGAGTACAAAGAAACAACTACTACAACAGAGTACACAACAGAGGAGTTGATTTACACTGAACCGTACACAACAGGGAATTGCATAAAACAAATTTACTTTTCAGAAAATTTCCTTATTCAAATCAATTAAATTAATTAAATGATGTTCATATTAATCTGACTAGAAAGGGGATGATTGAATGGTTCGCTGTTCTCCTTTCTACAGTTTTAATTTTTTTATCTTTGAGAAATTTATAAGAATTTTTAAGAATGATCTTTAGGGAAAAACTGTCAATGTTAAATTCTACCCATTTTAGAGTTGTCATAAACAATGGCCTTAAAATTAATTTTTGATAGTTTTTTCTATTCTTCTTTAGTAGAACCTTGAATTACATAGGGCGGTAACCTCTCCTTTTAATAAATATCTGAAATGGTATCTGCCACCCTTATAAAATCTAAGCAATTCAATGCATACTATTTACATCAAATGCATTGAAATTCAAACTATTCAAACTTTTTATTTTTATTCAATTTTAGAATATTACTACACTACTGTAGCCTGGTATAAGCCCAAGAGGTATGATAAACCCCCTCCACCACCCAATGCTGCTCCTGCCCCTATGCCCAAACCTCTGAAACCGTATGAAAACAAACCCTACTACCCTACTCCTTATTACACCTCTGAGGGTACAACTGTCCCCTATGTACCCCCTAAGTTTGAACCTATCCCTCCTGTGACCCCCCTGCCCTATTATAAGAAGTATGATGTCAAGTATCCCATCAACTACAATATACCCTACAGACCAACTCAGAGAACATATACCAAACCAAATGTTCCATATGTGCATACATTCCCAACATATACAACTACAACAACCACAACCACAACTACAACATATACAACAACCACAACTACCACAACAACCACCACTACCTACACAACAACTACAACTACAGTGACGTATACCACAACAACCACAACAACAACCACAACAACATACACAACAACTACCACAACAACTACCACAACAACCACAACAATCCCACCATGGTACAAACCCAAAAGATACCATAAACCCAAGAAGCACGAGAATGCTGCCCCTGCTCCCATGCCAAAGGAGATTAAACCCTACTATAAGAAGATCTACACAACAACATCAACCACCACCCCCTACACCACATACCCCTACAAGGAGGAGAAATATGAAACTGAGGGTCCTGTAGAGTCAATGCCTAAGTACTATGCTAAGAACTATGAAGCAAAGCATCCCTCTGCTATCCCCTACAGAGAAACTACTAAGGTTACAGAGGGACCAAACCAGAAATATTATCACAAATTCCCCAAATACACAACAACTTACTATACAACTTATGAAGAACCCAAATACGAAGAACCAAAATATGAGGAACCAAAATACGAAGAACCAAAATACGAGGAACCAAAAAAGGAAGCTCCAAAATATGAAGAGCCAAAAAAAGAAGCTCCCAAATACGACCAACCAAAATATGAAGAGCCAAAGACAGAAGCTCCAAAATATGAAGCTCTAAAATATGAAGAGCCAAAAACAGAAGCGCCTAAATACGAAGAACCAAAATACGAGGAGCCAAAAACAGAGGCTCCAAAATACGTAGAACCAAAATATGAAGAGCCAAAAAAAGAAGCTCCCAAATACGACCAACCAAAATATGAAGAGCCAAAGACAGAAGCTCCAAAATACGAAGAACCAAAATTTGAGGAACCAAAATACGATGAACCAAAATATGAGGAACCAAAATACGAGGAACCAAAACATGAAGAACCTAAATACGAAGAACCAAAATACGAAGTAGCTGAAAAGAAGTATAAAAAGTAATACCTAGGACCTTGGACCTGGAACCTTGGAACTTAGACATTAAATCTCGGACCTTAAACCATGGACATTGAACATTAGGCCTTGGCCCTTGGAATTTAAACCTTGGAACTTGAACCTTGGAACTTGAACCTTGGAACATGAACCTAGGAACTTGAACCTTGGGACTTGAACCTTGGAACTTGAACCTGGGAACTGGAACCTTGGAACTCGAATCTTGGAACTTTAACCTTGTAACTTGTAACTTGGAATTTGAACCTTGGTTCCTTGGAACTTGAACCTTGGAACTTGAACCTTAGAACTTGAACCTTGGAACTTGAATCTTGGAACTTTAACCTTGTAACTTGTAACTTGGAATTTAAACCTTGGTTCCTTGGAACTTGAACCTTGGAACTTTAACCTTGGAACATGATCCTTGGAACTTGAACCTTGGAACTTGAACCTTGGAACTTTAACCTTGTAACTTGTAACTTGGAATTTGAACCTTGTAACTTGTAACTTGAACCTTGGAACTTAAACCTAGAAACTTGAACCTTGGAGCCCGAACCTTGGAACTTGATCCTTGGAACCTGAACCTTGGAACTTAAAACTTGGAACTTAAACCTTGGGACTTGAATCTTGGAGCTTAAACCTTGGAACTTGAACCTTGGAACTTGAATCTTGGTACTTGGTCCTTGGTCCTTGGAACTTAAACCTTGGATTTTGAACCTTGGAATTTAAATTGTATAACTTTGAACTTGGAATCCTCAACTTAGGACCATTATCCTTGATCCAAAAATCAAAACCCATGGGCCTGAGGGACCTGTGAACCAGGTACCAGAGACCTGTAAACAGGGACCAGGGACCAAGGATCTCTGGACTAGGTTGAATAAAATCCGATCTTTCATAGAAGACCTGACAATCTGCTATATTGACCTTGTAACTTGTATTAAGTATGTGTATGGAGCTGAAATATATATTTGTAACTTTTATTGACTTTTAGTTAATCTTGATTTTTTTTATTTTATTTTTTGTTGACCAAAATGAATGTATGGGTTGGACATGGAGAGTTATAAGAACAACAGTGTGGAAGGGAGGAGGGAGGAGAAATAACGAAATGTTAATAAAAGATAATTGATATTAAATAAATAAGAATGTACAAGACGAAGGGGTTTACATATTGAATCGATTCGGTTGGGTGGGTGGGGATGTGTGTGTGGGGGGTATCCCAATCAGAACAGTAATATATCATACCATTATGAAGAAATCAGTACGTTAGCCCATCTATACATATCTATCCGGGGTGTAACTGTTTTCTGTTGACTAAAGGGACTGAAAGCATAATTTCAAGTGACCCTCCCTGCAAAGATAAAATATGCCAATGCTTGATTCACAACGGTACCCATAAAACCTTTGTTTGATCAAGTATGAGTAGGATATACATGTTTTTAACATGGAAAACTGGTTCTTTTCAATTATAGTTTCTCCACAAAAGTGACCTGTGCATTTCTACGGCAGGAAAAGATTTAGGAATTCTCAGATTTTTAACTTTTCAAACCTAGAAAGCGAAAATTTCTTCCACATTATTGATCAGAGAAATGTTTGAAAGGTACCGTTGTGAATCGGGTATTGTCATTGTTGTATCAAGGGTCACTTGAAATTACGCTTACTGTCCCTTTTAGAAAGGTTGAACACAACAATGTAAAATCTTACAGTTCTTTTAGATAGGTTGAACACAATATTATAAAATCTTACAGTTCTTTTAGATAGGTTGAACACAAAGTTATAAAATCTTCTAAAAGCTGAAATGTTTAAACTTAACTTAACTTAAAGGGACTGTGAAGGAAAAATTAAAGGGGGTTTAATCCTTTACCCCTTTTTATTTTTCCTTTACAGTCCCTTTAAATGATAAAACTGACTGAACGGGTTCATACATTTTTAAATGTATTTCACCTACAGACATTAAACAAAATCTCAAAATATAAACTTGGTGTCAATTTTGATGCTGATTGCTTTTACTTTTTAGATTTTTCGCACTAAACCAGAGTTCATTTAGGTGTGGTTACATCAGGTTTCAGACGTACCCGTTGTGCCTGACTTTTTTATTTTTGATGTGGGAAAATGCTTTATAAATAATCATTTAAATCATTTAAACTACCAATCATTTTAAAACCCTTTCAATTTCGAACTTTAAAAGCATTCCAAATTGGTTCTACTGAGTTCCCAAAACAAAATCTGGGGCAAAGTGGTCAAGGGTTCATAAAAATCATGATTAACAATATGACATACAAAAAACCCAGCTTAATGCCTGAAAATTAAACTTTCGCTACAAAAAGACAACCCACTCAATTTAGAACTATTAGACCCAAACAGAGATTACAACGTTATATAAATAGATAGATACTGCCTAAATCAAAGACGATCTTTAAACCATTAATGTTTATTGAAACACCCTGTAAAGTTTACTCCCTTCCCGACTCCCCACTGTCCTTTGTTAAAGTCCTGTAAATTCTAATTATATTTTTCTAACTATACACTTTACCATATAATCTCCCTTTAGAAGCAGACTAGTTAAAAATCAAGCTTTCATTCTTGTTCACGTTTTCAGGCTTATAATCTATATAATTTCCATTTTTTACCCTTCATAAATATTAAATGCATTGTTATTTTATCGCGATTTTTTCCATTTTGCCAACTGGTCGTTATCTGTATTTTTAGATATGTGGACCTAGATAATGGTTTAGCCATTAATACCATTGAATTAAACCCACAAGACGCCAGCGTTGTAATAAATTATTTCTTTTCAGGGACCTATAACACACACACAACAAATAGATTTTAACTTTTATAAAAAGAATAGCAAACAAATCAGGAAAAAACTTTTTTTCTTCTTTTTTTGGAGAATAATTTGACTTAAAGATGTTATTCTGGATTAAAGATTTTATCTATGTTCAGGAATCCTTAATCTTTTATATACAATATATACATACATACATACTTACAAACACAAACTTCTCTATTCAACCTGAACAATGTATTATATATTCAAATCACAGCAGGGTTTGTGTGTATATGCTGGTTCATGATATACATTCTAGTACGTTAAATAAACTTAAACATTCTTTGAGTAAACCTGATCTAAACCTTCTTATAGTAAACCTAATCTAAACCTTCCTGAAGTAAACCTGACTAAAACATTCCTTGAGTACACTTGATCTAAGCCTTCCTTGAGTAAACCTGATCTAACCTTTCCTTGAGTAAACCTGACTAAAACATTCCTTGAGTACACTTGATCTAAGCCTTCCTTGAGTAAATCTGACCAAAACCTTCCTTGAGTAAACCTGACTAAAACATTCCTTGAGTACACTTGATCTAAGCCTTCCTTGAGTAAACCTGATCTAACCCTTTCTTGAGTTAACCTGACTAAAACATTCCTTGAGTACACTTGATCTAAGCCTTTCTTGAGTAAATCTGATCTGAACCTTCCTTGAGTAAACCTGATCTAACCCTTCCTTGAGTAAACCTGAGCTAAACCTTCCTTGAGTAAACCTGATATTAACCTTCCTTAAATAAACCTGACCTAAACCATCCTAGAGTAAACCTTATCTAAACCTTCCTTGCTTAAACCTGATCTAAACCTTTCTTGATTTAAACTGATCTTAACCTTCATTGCTTAAACCAGATTTTAACCTTTCTTGAATAAACCAGATCTAAACCTTTCTTGAGTAAACCTAATATAAACCTTCCAATAGTAAACCTGATCTAAACCTTCCTTGAGTAAACCTGATCCAAACCTTCATAGAGTAAACCTGATCTAAACTTTCATTGAGTAAACCTGATCTAAACCTTCCTAGAGTAAACCTAATCTAAACCTTCCAATAGAAAACCTGATTTAAAACTTCTTAGAGTAAACCTGATCTAAATCTAAACTAGAAAATGTATCTTCGAATGGAATTTACAAAATGATTTTGTGCAAAGACCTTTTGTTTTACGATATTATTGCATAAATTCGAAAAGATGGCGATCAAGATCAAATTAAATTATTACCATTCATCTTTCAATAATTGATTTGTTTAAATGTTTACAGCAGATATTCAACACTTAGTGATGCAATACTCTGTCCAAAGATTTCATTGATAGGACATGATGATATCCTTGCATGTCTATCTGTAAATGTGATCATTTCTGGCAAATTTTGGCACGGTTTCTTAAGCTTAAATCGCTCGAGTCACTTTTCTAGAGAAGACATAATTGAAAATAAATATTTCCAGAGAGAAACTAAACTTACAATGTTACTGTTGCATCGAAATTGTGACAGAATAGAAATATAAAATTATGAAAAGTTGAAACTACGTTTTCAACCACTTTAAACGGAGTGACCGGCAATGTATGGTAGTTGAACTGAGGTTGCAGTATTGTTGAGAAAAAAGTTAAGATTCATTTGATACCTATTTGAGACGTTTTGAGAATCGGTTTTATAAAAATTATTCTAAAGAAAAATGTAACAAAATTTCTAAGTAAAATAATTAGATGTTTAGGAACATTAGATTCTCATTAAAATTTGTCAAAAAATCAATGTTAAAAAGCAAACTGTTTCTTGTTAATCATTAAATTCATTTTCTTATGCTTTATAGATAGATAGATAGAACCCACGTCAGGATTGGTTCTGATTCGACCTATGAGAGACTTTTGAGCAAGCGTTCTCTCTGTAGCAGACAGAATGCCGTCAGATCAGCTGTGACAAGGAGATGTAAATTTCGAAAATTCAAACTTTATGTAGATACATTATTTTATAGTATGTTTATTTTATAAATTCAATAAAATTTGACACCACAAATAATTACCGAGAGCTTAAAATACAAATTTAAAAGATTTTACGAAATTCACGATCATCAGCTGCTGAAGACTCGAGCCTTAAAGAGAGAAGAAACCCCCAAGAGGGTTGGTTTTTACTAAACTCAATGCCATCAAAAACCCCGGTCTTGACTTAAGCTTTTTTTGGGTCTAAGCAGACGCAAAGACCCGGTTTTACTCGGGTTTAAGCTTTTAAAGCTTGTACACAGGGTGGGATTTTATCTCATGCAAAATAGTTTACACATTTGTTAGAATAATTAAATTTTAAAGTAATTTTCTGACATGTACAAAACAAATATCCAAGCACATTAAAACATATATTTTTAGTTTTTAGATGAATACCAATTCGGTATACCACTTTGTAATGTAGTTTTTAAAATGAGAGTTTAGTAACCTATTTTTAAATATACTTAGAGAGTTGATTCTTTTTAAGTCAAGAGACAGGTTATTCCATATCTTAAAAAGAGAGCTTGATGGTAAATACTGTAATGAGCTTATATTGAGAATGTAAGGAATAGTTAAAAGATATTTTTCAAACTTTCCTTTATAAAAATTGTACGACATGGCTACTTTAGACTAAACAAATTGCTTTATTTGGTCAATCTGATGAAATTGTGACCTTATTCAATCGTAGTTCCTAGTATCCTTTAACGTGTTTATTCAAAGGAAAGGTCATCTTAACTCTCTCAACACTCCTTCTTTTTCTTTCCTTGCTTTTCCTTGCCTTTCTTCTTATTCTTCAATTCTTCTGATTCTTCTGATTCTTCTGATTCTACTGATTCTTCTGATTCTTCTAATTCTTCTGATTCTTCTGATTCTTCTGATTCTTCTGATTCTTCTGATTCTTGTTTTTCTTCTTATTCTTTAATTCTTCTGATTCTTCTGATTCTTCTGATTCTTCTGATTCTCCTTTTTCTCATATTCTTCTGAATCTACTGGTTCTTCTTATATTCTTCTGATTCTTCTGATTTTTTTGATTCTTCTAATTCTTCTGATTCTTCTGATTCTTCTGATTCTTCTTATATTCTTCTGATTCTTCTGATTCGTCTGATTCTTCTGATTCTTCTGATTCTTCTGATTCTTGTTTTTCTTCTTATTCTTTAATTCTTCTGATTCTTCTGATTCTTCTGATTCTTCT